TGTTATATAAAAGTCATGTTGCCATTTATAACTCTTTTAATGTTTACTATCAAACTAAAGTATGATATCGAAGATGCTGGACAGTAATGTACTTTATCAGCCTCGTTCTTTATATAACAATTGGCAATAATTATCTTTTTAATTTAATTGCTGACATAATGACATTTACAGAATTTACTAGAAATTCTAATGATACTACTAGTAATTACATAAATTAAGTACAGTTGAAATTGTAATATACTTGACAATAAACCTGCGAGGAAATAAGAAAACATCTGATTGAACCCTATTATTTGCAAACAATTCATTATAATAGATCAAAAGTTCTATTTTAATCATATGGCTGCTGTTTTCTTGATACTGCTTGCGGCTTACACGATTTTAGACTGGAAGAGCGAAAACAATTATTAAAGTTGCAAACATAATTGAATGTTCTTTCATAAATATTGGTATATCGCTGTCTAAATAAAGGCAAGGAATTTCTTCTATTTAGTATAATAATATACAGATAGTGCCTGTGTGGAATTCGTAATAAATTTAATCAAATTCGGGAAAAAGCTTATCAAAAGTGCATCTTGCATTCATTTCATATGAACAAGGCAGACAGATTTTTATACTGTTAAAGGGCAGCTTATGCAAAAACGAGTCTGGCCTGTCTGAAAGTTTGCATTACTAACTCAACACTGAAACTGTCTTTAATCCGATGTTGATGTCACGCCAAAACATTATTTTACTTTAGAAGTAAGATATTTGCGCAAATCATAGACATTTCAATGAATTTACATCATGTTGTACAGTGCATTTATAATAAGTATTATCCGCTTTGATAGATTTTACGAACTTATCAAAGTCAGTTCAAATCAATTAGATCCATATCGTTGATTTTTTTTGTGCTTATTTATAAATAAAATTCCATAAAATCCATTACTTTTGGTCCGTAATCATATATTTGAATGAGACAAGACACAAGACAAGAATGATTAAATCCTAAAATCTCGCATTTTCACCTGACGGACTTTAAAAAGGCTTATATACGATAATATTTCAATTATATTACCGCTGTTTTCTCAATACTGCTAGTAAATTAGACGATTTAAGACGGGAAAAGTGAAAAACATATTAATATCACAAGCAAAATTAAACGTTCTTTCATTAACATTGACGTATAGCTGTCTTAATTAAGTTTCTTCTATTTAGTTTAATGATATACAGACAGTACCTGCGGGGATTCCGTAATAAAGATGATCAAATTCGCGGAAACCCTTATCAAAAGTGCATCTTGCATTCATTTCATATGAACAAGACAGACAGCTTTTTTGTACTGTTAAAGTGCCACTAATGCAAAAAATAGTTTGGCCTGTCTGAAAATTTGCATTACTAACTCAACACAGAAACTGTCTTTAATCCGATGTTGATGAAACGGAATCAAAGTTAGATATTTGCAAAACATAGACATTTCATTTATTTACATCTAAATTTTACTTTTCCGCACTTGTTTTGTACAATACATGTAAAAATAGTTTGTTCCGCTATGATAAATTGCATGAATTATTCAAATACCAATCAATTTTACTTTTTAATGGCATTGATACAGCAGATATTTTATTTTTATTGTTGTTGTTTTGTTTTTGCTTTACTGTTACATAAACAAAATTCCAACAAATCGATCACATTTGGTCCGTTATCATATGTTTTTGAATGAAGCTCCTCGTAAATATTTCAGAAGTTAAATTTATTTCATATCGATGTGACAGGCATTAATGTCTGTGATGTTAAAGTATGACTTTATAACGCTTCATACATTTGTCCGCTTTAAAAAATACATTGCTAATTTTAATTCATTTGAAGACGAAAATTTTGTTGCTTAAATGTTAAATAAAGATGTTTGCACCTTATTTATTTCCATTATGATAACTGTAATACTAAAATCAAATTTGCCTTTTAATCATCTCAATGGGACACACATACCTTTTTGTACTGTTAAAGTACGACCAAAAAAAGAACAAAATAAACATGCACGTTTGTCCGCTCTGCAAATTTGTATCAATTTCTCCAGTTCTAATATCAAACGTGTATTTTAACCATATAAATGAAGAACACGTTAAATTTCAGTACTATTAATGTAAAGTACCCATTCTGAAAAGTGCATGAATACCGAACTGTTATATTTTTTAATCAATTAAACCTATTGCAGCCAAGATATTTGAATCAGTGAATTATATTTGAAGTTAAGTTAACATGTTTGACGATAAAATTCACCACGTCAGTTGCAGTGGTCTATCTTATAACAATATCAATGTAAATCATTCATGCATTCGGTGCATTAATGTTATAGTTCATTAATTTCTCGTATTAGTTTATATCGTACTTTATAACATAATCATCAAATAGAGACTTTTCCTTTATATCAGTTACCATATAAAACTTCTTTTAAATTGAATTTCGTCATCTGAATGCTAGAGCATAATCAGGCAAGAACATAATCTCAATGTTTCACACTTAGATATGTCAAATATTTACATTTAATATATTGGACATTGCTCAAATCATGACGGGACAACTACATTAATATATAATTCAGGCCAGAATTGAAAATACATGAAGACATAAAACATGGCATTAGGGGCAATTTTCTGATCATTCACGTCTCTTTTCTAATTCTTTCTCTATTATTCGCATAAACAACTGGTGTCAAAAATAGTCTGTTACATTTGTATTACGCGTATCAAATATATTTAAAACAGATTCAAACGTTGACTTATTTGCGGTAAATTAAATCTAAGGCGGAAATACATAATTGTCTATGTGGTTGTATATAAGAGCAGTCGTAATACAACACTCAGTATGATTTTAACAATCGCTTAACTTAAAACACATATCTAGTAAGAAAGATGGAAAATGTATGTAATGAAGTAAAGCATGTACTAGGAGGGACATGGAAGTTAGATAGGTCAGATAATTTTGAAGAAGTTCTAAAAGCAATGGGTGAGTAAGTTTATTCACTTTGAATGTTTAAAGTTGACGACTACCTAGAAATTTACCTTTATATTTCTGTAATTTTACTTTTTATTATGTTTTGACATTAATATGTTAAGCTAGGGGACTCGTCTGACATGGAATAACAAAACATGATGTTCTCATTTTAGCCTTGAATGCTTAGCCAAAATGAATGGTACATTTCTTAAGTACAAAATCGTAAGCTCTTTTTAAGGTTTTGGGAAATTGAAATATATTTACTGTTAACAAATTGATTAAATATATGATTTAAACGTGTATATTTCAGATGTAAACTTATGTACGGTTGAAATTATGTTAAGTTCAGTTCTGTCTGTTTCGTGTATCATATATTGTATTTTAACTTTCAATACTTTAGAATACGTTATTTTGATTCAGAAAATGGCGTAGAAGAGTTGAATGAGGGATCAAAAATGATAATGTATAACTAACACTGAAACCATACACATTGATATAACTTAGGTATTTTGGTATCGAACCTATACCCATTCGCAAAGTATTTAAAAGAAAAGAATGCATATAAGTGCAGCCGACTTATTCATATAGATTTAATCATATATTTGTATGTTAAACATTTATCTTTCTCTTTTTTATGTAATGATAAATTAGATCAATGTTTTATTGACTTTGCTGAAAACATTTTTGGTTTAAACAAATAAGCTCATTTAAACTCTAAATTGACGGGAGCCTTGTGTTAGGCTAAACCACACATTTTTATCTCTATAAGGTAAACTTAAAAGTCTACATAATAAAATACATATTTCAGAGAAAGAATATCTTTCCCCCAAAACATCGTTTCAATTTATAAAAGAAAAGTTTGTTGTAGTTTATGTTTACGGCAAAGACATTCATCGTTATCTATCAAATGTAAAAAATCCCACACACATAAAACACAACAAAACAAAGCAAAGTTTTTATCATTCCTGTGGTTATCGAACGTGTATAAGTACTTCCGCACAATTGCAGTGCACTTTATTGCTTTATTAGAGTTCATTCCGTGCATACTAATTGTTGCGTGACACAAATTTAACAACACAGCTTTAGCATGAACTTTAAAAGTAAGATAATCTATAGCTAAACTGTATAAATCATTAAAAGTTTGAGTTTGTTTAACATATACACTCAAAACAAAAGATATGTTATGTTTGAAAAGATGACAGCAAATTAGTTAGTTTCCATTTGTCTATACTCACATAAAGGTAATGGAAATATATTTTAAAGAAGTAGAAGATGCTTTAAAGCGTACCTAAATATGAATCATTTGAAGTTTTTTGTCACCTTAAAAAATATTTCGGTACGTATGAGGTAAATAATTGTTGAACATTGGGAGCGATAGGTACCATTCACGTATTTCAGTTGGTGTTAAATAATTTAAAGTGGTATTTTGGTCATTCTTTGACTGTTGAGATAAATAAAGCTTTATACCTTATAAGTGATTGAACAATATTTGTAACAAATGAAAATGATGAAATATAAAAATTGCCTATAATATAAAAAGACTGTCGTACTCTTTTTTTATAAATCAAGCATTGCAGATATTTTCCTAAAAATATTTATGTGGGTCAAGGGGTGAGGGTTATTAATGAATCATTATAAGATTTTTAAAACAAGTATGACAAAATGACAAGTTATTTCAAATTTACCGGAACACTAGCCATTTTCTCCTAGATAGCTTGGATAGGCATAATGTCACTTTAAAATATATAAGAAAGTTTTGGCCGTTTAACCGCTTGGTTTGTTTGAAATCTTCAAGTTAAAATGATGTTTTGTTGGATTCGGTATAAACGCAGACAAGTACTTAGCCGCAATACCGTATTTATAATTGTATACAATGTAAAAGACTGAATGAAAGTGAAGTAAACTAATCCAGCAGTGTAGCAGCGTCTTTGTGGTTGTTCTTTTTTATCGGATTTCTGATCTGTAACTAAACGTCTCTGCTTTTAACATTACTGAAGGTATAAGAATTATCTCGTTTATGATATCGGTAGAATATATAACAGAGATAAGACGTCGGTGTTAAGTAAGACATTAGTGTCGTTTCTCGTGAAATTAACAGACATTGGAATATCAAATGCACTATCATATTGAAATTAAACTTTTTGATAAGTGAAACCTTTTGGACATGTATTGTTTTTTTAAAAATGAAAACTGTAAATTTAAATGTTCATGGACGATTTCATTTGGAATAAAATAAGCAGCTGTGCGACAACTCAAAAACCTATTTAAATTAGGTATCGGTGTAATTGGATACATTTTAATAACATTCTACAGATTCTTTCTTTATATTTGGAAATGGGGAGTGAGCTAGATGAAATCACAGATAAATTATCGGGTTCATGGGTGTTAGACAGGTCTGAAAATTTTGAGGAGGCTCTTCAAGAAATGGGTGAGCTCGCATTCTGAATAATCGAATACAGAATCAAATAAGAAATCACTTAAACAACCTCATTTCATTAACGTTAATGAAAACAGTGTACATTAATAGATGAAGTTTAACATATTAATATTATCATATATAATGATTCGTTTGTGAACCACTGGTCATATGTAACACAATAACGGCTTTGGCTACATTTTGCTGCATTTGTGCATACTGAACACTCGTATTATATTTTGTGTGCAACAGAACAATCATTACATGAAAATATGTAGCAATAAAATTATGACTATGTTTTACAATTAAACTTAAAAAGCTATTTACTCATTGTTTATATCTTTATACAATATGTGTCAATACTTTAAAATTGCACAATATTTACCAATAAAACATGGGCGTGTGGGCTATATGCAAGTTGTCAGACCTCGGAAGGTATATGGCCCAAAGCGAAGCGTGATTAAAGCAACAGCGCTGCGTTTCATAAAAAGTCCTAAATGTATCCTAAAGCTTGGCACATAAAACCAGCTTTTGAAAATTTCAATGAACATCATTTTAGCTTCAGTCAAATACCGTAGACTAAAATAAATAAATTCATTATCCTGAGAAAAGTTAAGAAATACAATGACAGATCCTTCTATTCGGAGTTTGTAAATACATATCGGCATTACTATTCAGGAATTAAAAGAGTCATAACATTGGATACATAAGTGATACATAAGTTAGATATTTTTTGAAGCGCAAAATTGTCTCAGTTTTGTTTTTAAAAAAACGGACGAATCTTTCAGTTTCTAGCTTTTCAGTCAAATTCATTCATAAAGTAATTTATTGTTTTATCTGTTTCAATAAGATCAATGATCTTACAAATTTTCATTAAACAAACTTTATTTTATTGACAACAATTGTTAAGAATTGTTTTCATAACAAATAGAATGAAAAGGAAGTTAAAAATAGAATTCATATTCAGGTTTAAGTTTTATTTGCATAGCATTCATCTTTGGGAAAAGAAACTAGTTTTATAGAAAAATGCATGGTCTAAATCAATATGATTAAAGAAAGCAAGGACTTTTAATGGAAAATTACAATCACGTTTATTGTGATAGATTTTAAACATAAAGTTTAAAGTATAAAGACCATGAACAAAGTATAAAGACTCATGAATACATTGACACGAATAGAAAAAAAGTCGATATAAAACGGGAAAATGGTGTTCTTTATATGAGAAATAAACGTTACTGGTGTTACAGTTATTTTGAAAATATATTTTTATGTTACCTTCGACAATGACAAATTAATATTGGTATTACGTTTACTTCCATCTCTATTTTCAGGACTAAATGTTGTGTTCCGGAAGTTAGCTAGCCATGCCAAGCCAAGTATGGAAATACAAGTAGAAGACGGGAAAGTTAAGATTATTGCCAAAGCTTCATTCTTCACACAAACTATGACTTTTCCTATTAATGAACCGTATGACCAAGAATTTGAAGGGATCAAAATGAAAGTAAGAATTTATTTTACTTCTAAAACCAAAAACGTTATTTTTTTATTTATGGAAACATTCTACTGATTAAAAAAATCTTACAGTTATTCATTCACAAACACCTGACAATATGAATCGTTTAAATTGATATTTTTGCTAAAGGTTCTGGAACTGCATGCTAGTTTAAGGAATTGCGTCAAATATACAAATTTTATTGATTGCAAATTTTATTCTCAATGTTTGTATGTCGTGCATAATGTGTCGTAGGCTCTTGAAAACATCTTTTTCATATATATGTGTTCTTCAAGCGTTCATCTGCAGTATGTTATATATATCATTGGCTAAAAAATAAATGGGTGTTGAATGGTGAAATAGCTCGAAATAGAAACGTCAGTTAATATCATCCTACTATTTCATCTATTACAAGTCGCAGATGGAGAGACAGTTCTATGAGTTGTTAAAGATGGGCACTATACCAGACTTGATTTATATGCTTAATTTTATATTAAGAGCGTGCTATATTTAGAATGGTCTAAAAATGTTACATCCAGAAATGTCTCAAAATGTTATATTTAGAAATTCCTCATAGTATGATCTCAAGAAATTCCTAAATTATATCTAAATTATTCCGATAATTTAGAGTTGATCGATTCACGCTGTAGATTGATGCTCTATTAAGATAAAATAAATAATAAAAGGTTACCGATCGTTGAACGCCGCCTTTCCTTGTTGATCATATTTTTTGGAATTAGAGATAGTAGTTGCATGTTATATATTCTGTATTGATATGCCATACTACAAGTATCTAGCGAGACAAATAATTGTTGTTGTTGTTATTTTTTCTTTTGTGGGATATCAATGACAAAAATAAGACCTTTAATTTTGTTTCAAATAAAAATTAAATAATTTTTATGGTGCGATAAGTTGTCCTTTTATTCCAATTTGAGCCCGATTTTTACTATATTTCTTTTATGTATTTTATTTCGTTAATTCATTCTTGCATTTGGGTCATTTATGTATTGAGTAATACCATCGATTAAAAAACTTTGTACATTTATATTTTAGTGTTTTACAAAATGGGAGAATAATAAACTGATCACCGAAGCCAATCCTGTGGAACCAGAGAAAGACAAGCCTCAGAAATTTCATAGGGAACGAGTTAATGACGAACTTGTTCAGGTATGAATGCTCGTGAAACAGAAATGATTACCAACATTCAGAAATGTTCATAACTTGCAATTTATGTCAATACAATTTAAAGCAATTACCATCAACGTCAAAAATATAACACTATTGACAAGAAGAATACGGTTTTGAACAGAAATTTAATCTTCTGTTCCCTTTCTTTATCAACGACAGTAAAATCTATACTTTTATTGATTAATGGTAAAACTGACCATAAACTTCAAACGTGTGCTTATTAGTTAGTATATCTTCAAATCATACCTTAGCTTTTAACTTCTACAACATAATAATTTATGAATTGATAAAGTAACGTGATAAACAACAAATAAGCATAAATGAAATATTCTCTGATTTTGATTTGTCTGGATTATCACCTGATTTAAAAAAGATATCCCATAATGGCATTCTTAAATGTAAAAGGTCATTTTATTTTACAGACCATGTGGATAGGAGATGTTAAATGTACTAGATGGTTCAAGCAACAGACGTGATGGAAGAAAGGATTATTTGAAATAAATTGAGTTTTATATCGTGTCTTTCAATATGTTAACGTTGTAATGCTTTTTGTCATGAACATAAGTTACTCTTACCGCTTTTGCACTATTTAAATTTTTCTTTAAAGTACTTTAAATTTATTAAGGAAAGGAAACTTTTTTTCTAAGAGTTTAATTTTGTTGTCACTCCTAAAAGTTTTGATTAAAAGAAAATACTAACATTTAAATCAAATGTTTCGAAAGAGTGACCAAATAAATTAAGTATTATTAAGTATTTTGTGTCCAAAAAGACATAATGTGAAGTTGTGTCAGCAAATATTACTCCATTCCATAAGCATAATGTCCACATCTGTTCAAAAGCGTTTGCGTTATAAGCTTCACATTTTTAAACAAATAAATGCACATCAAAATCGCCATCAGTTCAATTCAACTCTTTCTCACTCAAGAGTAGATATCAAAATAGAGTTGTGACTTCAAGATTTTAAAAGCTTGCTTCAAATATATGTATTTAACACGGAATAAATAATTTATGGTTTGTATTTTTGTATAGAAACAAATTGATTATATGACACTTAACCATGTTTGTATAATTTGTGGCTTTTTAAAAGGAAAGGAAATTATGCATTTTTGTTTGTTTAAACTTAATACCGACTCCAACAACTATGGCATATATGAAGCATTTTGTTACTGAGGATTTAAGTCATATACACTGGGATAGTCATATTCTAAAAATCAGGCATCCTTAGTTGGGAAAGACCTCGACAGCGCTCCTGTGTATTACTTTATGGACGAACGATCATGTAGGTAAAATCCCTCGAAGAGTTTTGTAAAAACACTCATGAAACTAGCCGAATGCACGACGTTCTGGATATGTCTTTGATGCTACAGCTTTTAAAAACTTGGCAACAGATAAACACTTTCAAATTATATATTTCGAAATTTCAGTTCCATGATCAATACACCGTGGTAAAACGGCTCATGTATATTAGAATATAAATGTGTTCTAAACTGAGTAAAGATTCATATGTAGATATTTATATTATTTATGCAATATGTTCATATCCGATTCGAATTATTACCTTTTTTTTAAGTATTTTGAAAAAATATAAAATTTCCTTTTTGTTGTTGGTATTTATAAATTGCAGAACTGTATGTTTTGTATATGGCGAATTCACGATGTTTAAATGTTTACGGTATTTGAAATTATGCTTTTGTCTTTCTTTATACATGTGCAATAAGATGAATAAAATGTTGTGTATTATATATATATTTGTATTTTCTTTTTGTATTGTAATTTCACAAAGTACGATTAACATTCGTAAATTACAGCACCCTTAACACTGGAAATTGGAAGAGATGTTAATAGCTCCGCAGTAATAAAATGTTATGTTTTATATAACGCTATTATATTTCATTTCGCTAATGTATTTTGAACACGTGCACGTTTGACATAAATGTACTTATGAAGCCTACTTAATCGTATTAAAACAGAATCAGAATAGCTCTAACATATACATATATTAGTTTCTGGTTGTTCTGATTGAACCAGCTAATGGACACTTCTATGGAAATAACATTATTTTTAATATCCAGTAGTGTGTCGGGGGAATATGTAGGCGTTAGTAAATGAAAGCTTGTATATCAAAGATCGTATTTTTCAATAAAATATATCAGTAGACAATATTTAATAGGTTTGACTAGTTGTACCTGTACATTTTCATGTATTTATGACTTTTAAATAGAAAAAAGATGATATTTATTGTAGTACAATAATATTGTCTCCACATTCATCACCCAAAGACACACAGCATTTTGTTGATACACGAAACACTTTATCGAACCTGATAACATATAACATTTAAGCTTTAGGTACCACATGCTTTCAAAATCACCTGACATGTAATGTTCGATTAATGATTCATTTTACGCAGTATGGGCTATTTTGCATATTTTTTTACCTCTTTTGGTATTCTACGATGATTGCAAGTGCTTGCCGTTTACAATGTTTAACATACTTTCTTTGTTCACTTCACGATATCTTACTTTAAATGTTCAAAATTTTTATGAAAATTATCATGGATGTGGAGGCAAGCTGCTTTAATTATACTTATGTTACGTAGCATGTGACTTCTGTTTCAAGTACTTAATAAGAACAAGGAAACAAGAATTTGAATAACACGAATGGTATTTCCACAATCGCTGTGGCAACATACTCGTGAAGTGAGGAGCTGAAAAGAAAGTTTGTTTTTCACATTTTCAATAATATACATTTTGTTATCTAAAAATATTGCGGGATATAAATATATGTTACCAGATTCGATATCATTTATTTCGAAGTCAATCGGCGTCTGTGGGCAATATTTTCAAAAATAAAGATATAATATAAGATTACCCCCCCCCTCCCCTTAAAAGTGAAAAAAAAGCAAAATTCACCTTAGTCTTTATTTTCATTAAGAATAATTACATAACATAATATGTAGATCTACGATAATTAATATAAAGTTATATTTCATGATAGCACGACTGTGTTATAAATCTTCTATTTCAGCTCATTATCAATTTGCACTTTTATTCATATTCCAATGAACATTCCACTTATTTTGTACTCTTTTCCTACGTTTTAAGTAGGTAAAGTAGAAAGTTTGAAGTATGGTATATATCAACATTCAAATGGAATCGATTGATGAAAGCTTCTGTGAGAAACGAATCTAAGGTTTATAAAGCAATTAAATAAATAAAAGAGAAATGCGATGAAACTGTTGCTAGAAAAACATTGTACATTATATTATGCGTTTACACAATTTTACCATTCCACTTTTCTTAAATGTCAAACGCTATGAAGTGATTATTTAAAAGGTTTTATCACAATGTTTTTATACTTTGATATGCGGAAAACAATATACACATGTGAACTAGGAGTAATATACACGAAATCTCAATTGAATTCTCTCTTAATCCGGATATTTCTTATGTTATTGCATACGTTTAACCTTTCCTAAATGTCGCATTGTCGGTAAGGTTGTAATAGAGCAATGTCGTGTTACATTACGTTACAGAAAGGTGCTTGCAATTTTTTGTAAATAATTGGTGTATTCATTCTAATAAGACTGTGTTTTCTTAGGCAACTATGTTTGACCTTTTAAACTGTTTAAAAATAACACGTCACTTCGCACGGACGCAGACACAAACCCACGCAAGATCTTCCAGATAAATTCTGAAACGAATGTGTTTTGTTAACTCCATAATAATACAATATCGTGTTTTCCTTAAATTTAAAGGTTTTTCAAAATAATTCGAGAGCTTAACGAATAGGTCACTGGATATAACAATTACATGAGTATATTATAAATAGTTTTTCAGTGTCTTTGAAAATCAGTTCACTGTAAAGCTATAGATATAATTTGATAAACGTATAGGTATTTATGAAAAACGACAATAGGCTATAAACAATGTATTAAGATGTTTTATGCTGAATAAAGTTTTGTACTCGTAAAGAAGGGCTTTGAAACCGATCGCAACAAAAGACGGACAGACAGAATGCCGACGCGATAGAAACAAGAAAGACACATCAATACACTAGCCCACAAATAATGGGCAAAGGAGTTATTTTGTCAAACACCCTTTGAAAAAAACCATCAAACATCAATTTCTTCATTATTTTGAGAAACAATATTACACCTTATAAATCAAAGAACATTCTATTTACCGTCAAATTATGAAGCACAGAGTCAAACAAATATTAGTAATTGATATTATTACCGAAGATCTGTGATTTTATGAAATAATATAGAAACAATTTGTATCTCGACCAAATATAACTTTACATGAGGTTATTGACTCGAATTCATTTTGCACATAATCAAAACAACCTGACGACACAATATAAAATTCTAATAATAATTTTAACAAGTTTTACCAGTTAAATGTTCCCTAATGCATTTGAATAATGTGTTTGTAAGTGTTTGTACTATTCAAAAATATGTTTACAACAAATGATTTCAATTGGAGTGATCTTACTGAAAGAAGTAAATGAAATACTTGTTTGGTTAAAGTGAAAACCTAAAGAATGGAAAAATCTGTAATAACTATTGATCAATGTACAACTGTTTTAAAGTTGTCGATTGCCAACGGATATAAATATTGTTACGGTTAAATATATTGAAGAAAGCGATCCCGCGGAAGTATTAAAAACAGCGGAACTTGAGGAATAATGAGCAATTGCAACATCCCACACGAACCCTAGCATCGGCTTCAAAACGTCTGCACTGTCTTCATAACTATAAAAACAATCACTGACAATGTTTAACAGCGACGTGGAATCTATTCTTCGGTATTCAGTATTCTAGAGCCTTGTTACTTTTTTTTAAATTATAAGCGAGTGTAAATCCAAGTGATGACAAAAAATTTCAGATGCATTTGTATATTTCCATTACGAACTAAAAGAGTTCGTAAAAATAGTTTACTCTTTTCAAAATATCATATAAAGGATTTTTGAAAATACGTAAAAACGGTTGATACATATAGTTTATACATACACCATATTACGTTATCTCTGTTTTACGAGTTTATATCTTGTTTTCCTGTATATTTAAATCTACAAAGTCAAAGATTGGAATTACCCATGGAAGATTGAAATGTTGATTTGATCGAATTAAAACAACATTCTACTTGAAAATAATGTTTTATGCAAACAAAGAATAACTTAATTAACAGGCACTGATAACAATAGTGTCTTCGTAAAGTGTCACCGGCCTGCAGGGCATCTCTTCACTGTATCTTTTCAATATGGAAAACATTGCTGCCAACTAAATCGCCTGTTGATACATGATTCACACGTGGCAGTGCTAAACAAATGACCAAAGATAAATGATATATCAGATTTACTTTACTTATGTGACTTTCAGATTTTGTTATACTCTGTTAATTGTTAATAACATTTATTCTTTGGTTGCAAAAAAAAAAGAAACAACACTATTTGCAAGAAAAATGTTGGTTTATTTCGATCAAATCAACATTTCCATCTTTCACGGGTAATTTCCATATTTGACTTTAAACCGTTTTTTATGTATTAAAAAATCAATAACAAAAAAACCAACTTAATATTATATTTTGAAAAGAGTCAATTATTCTAACGAACAGTGTTAGTTCGAAACGGAAATATACAAATGCATCAGAAAAATTCCCATCGTTGCTTGGATTCGCAATCGCTTATAAAATAAAGTAACGGCGCTCTATACTACTAAATCGATGAATAGATTTCATGTCGCTATTAAACATTGTCAGTGATTTTTTGTTTTTATAGATATGAAAACAATTGCATACGTTTTGAAGCCGGTGCTAGGGGGCGTGTGGGATGTTGCAATTGTCCATATTATCCCTCATGTACCGACTAAATCAAACCGATTCTGCAACATTCATGAAATTTTGCTGTTTATAGTGCTTCTGAGAGATCACATATTCCAGACATTTTAGTTTCAGTAAGTTCAGTCCGAATGGAACTCATTTGTAAACATATTTTTGAATGAACAAACACTTACAAACAGATTATTCTAATTCATAAAGGTAAGTTTATATCTGATTAAAACATATTATTAGAATTTAATATTATATAGTCAGGTTATGTTGATTATTAGAGAGTTCGTGTCAATAACCTCAAGTGAAGCTATATTCGTCCGAGATATAAACTGTTTCCATATCCTTTCATAAAATCACCGATCTTCTGTAATAATATCAATAATAGTTGTTTGACTCTTTGCTTCATAACTTGACGATAAATAGAATGTTCTGAGCTGTATTATGTGTAATTTTGTTTCTCAAAACAATGAAGAAATTGATGAGTGATGGAATTTTTCAAAGGGAAAAGAAATTCTTTTCCGATTATTTGTCGGGTTAGTGTATTGATGTGTCGTTCTTGTGTGTGTCTCGGCATTCTGTCTGTCGGCCTTTTGATGTGCTTCCGTTTCAGATCCCTAATGAACGAGAACGGAAATTTATTCAGCATAAAACATGTTAAATCAATGTTAATATCATAGTGTCGTTTTACATAACTATTCATGTATCAAATTAATAAAATAATGTAATTGTTAATTCCAGTGATCTTCTTAAAGCTCTTAAGGACCACATTTTATGCACGCATCTATAATATCGTATTATTATGGAGTTAACAATTCACATTCGCTGTAAGAATGTACGTGCGTTTGCGCCTGAGGTGTGCATCTTATTTTGAAAAGTTTAAAATTTAAAACGTTCAAACATAGTTGCCCAAGAAAGCACGCCGTTGTTATTATGATTAATACACCAAATATTTATGATTATTGGAAGCACCTTTCTGTAACGTAATGGAACACGATATTGCTCGCTTACAACCTTACCGAACTGTGTGACATTTAGGAAAGGTTAGACGTCTGCAATAACATAAGAAATATCCGAATTAATAGAGATTTCAATTGAGATTCCGTGTAAATTACGTGTAATTCACATGTAAATATTGTTTATTGCATATCAAAGGATAAAAACAGCGTGATGAAACTTTTTCAAATAATCAATTTATAACGTATGACATTTAAGAACAATGGAATGGTAAAAATGGTGTAAATGCATAAAACGTTTTTTTCTAGCAGCAGTTCCTTTGCATTTCTTTTTTCTATACCTCAGATATTTATTTAAATGAATTTTAAATCTTAAGTTCGTTTCTCATATTAAATGTTTTCATCAATCGATTCCAAGTGAATGCTGATATATACCATACTGCAGACTTTCTACTTAACCTACTAAAAACGTAGGAAAAGAGTACTGAAATGAGTGGAATGTGCATTAAAATATGAATAATTGTGCGTATTTTATGACATGTTTACGGTGAAACCAGAAAGATACAGTAAAGGTATGTTGTTTCCCTGCGTTTTAAATAACAGCCATCTTACACAAAGTTTAAAGATAAGAAAACAAGTTAGTACAAATTTACTTATTAGTAGTAAGTGGTAGCAAACAGTGAGAAAAGTAAAGTAACAGAATTTATGACGTTGTCCTTATTTATTATAAAGAAAGTAAACATGCAGTTTTTAAAAAATACACGACCGTGATAAATTGATTATATTTACTGAATAGAAAAGCATTACAAAGATGTTAATGTAGAGTATATAACAAATATCTTTGAATACGCATGTTATTTTATTTTTTTCTGACATTAACAACGAATCAAAAGTAATGAAAGAGATACATAAAGTTCATAAAAAGACATCAACATTGTCCATTTAATGAAAGTGTGCATACATATTACATATTCTGTTTATGATGTATCGCAGTAGGATTAGATATTATGACGGGGTGTATTTGTTGCGTAACTTATTTCTGTATTATAACACTTATCTTCACAATCTTTCTTAATTGATAACAAGCTGAAATAGAAGATTCATAACACAGTCGTTCTATCATGAAATATAACTTATATAAATAATTGTAGTTTTACATATTATGTTAATGAAAATAAAGACTAAGGTGTATTTTGCTTTTTAAAAGGGGGGGGGGTGTATGAGTGTTATGAGTTTATGAGGTTACGTAACTTATAAATCTATATTTCAACAAGACCTATATAACGTTTTTTCAAACAAATACATCCTTCGATCCTAATTCGAAAATTCAAATCTCATGCAGTTATACACATGAGAAAAACAACAACAACAACAACCAAAAAAACAACAACAACAAAAACCAAAAACAAAACAGGAACATAAAAAAAGTAATCACATATATAAAGCTAATAAAATTCACATAGTTATACATGGCGCATCAGTGAAGGAATGGAAATTTTTATTGCCAGTCTCAAGATACAACATTGGATGAAATTAGATCTAAACATTTTTAATTGACAATTCTAAATTACCAAAAATCTTAAGCTTATGTTAGGCATTTATAAAGGGAAATATTAATAATGATAATGTTAGCATACGATATTATAATTATGAGAAACGAGATAGATCAAATAGGAAAGGTGGGAATAATATCTTATATTTCTGAAAATATTGCCTACAGACGCCGATTGACTTCAAAATAAATATTATCGAATAAATCTGGTAACATATATTCATATCCCGCAATCTTTTAAGATAAAAACTAATATAGTATTGAATATGTGAAAAGAAACTTTCTTTTCAGCTGTCTTGGCTCCTCCCTTCACGAGTATGTTGCCATAGCGATTGTGGAAATTACAGTCTTGTTATTCAAATTCTTGTTTCTTTCAAATTGTTTCTTTCGAACTTGTTGTCAAAAAGTACTTGAAACATAATTCACATAATAATTAACATAAGTATAAATACAGCAGCTAGCCTGCACGTCAATTTTAATTTTCAGGACAATTTTGAAATTCTAAAGTAAGATATCGTGAAGTGAACATCGAAAGCATGTTACACTTTACAAACGACAAGCACTTGCAATCCTCATATATTACCAAAAGGAGGTAAAAAATACGCAAAATAGCCCTTACTGTGTTATACTGTAAAATTAAATTAATCATTATCGAACATAACATGTCAATTATTACTTGAAACAAACACATTATTACTTTTCTTGAAAATTTCGTTTTTCTTAGTGAAATATGATAATATATTATGCTCTATATACTTAAGTAAACCTGTGGTACATGCAGCTTGAATGTTATCAGGTTCGATTAAGTATCTCGTGTATCAACAAATTGCTGTGTGTCTTTGTGTGATGAATTTGGAGACAATATTATTGTACTACAATAAATATATTTTTTTCTATCTCAATGTCATAAAGGCATGAAAATGTACAACTGGTCAAACCTATCAAATATTATCTACTGATACATGGTTTAGAAAATCCGATATTTATATACAAGCTTTCATTTACCACCGCCTACGTATTCCCCCGATACACTACTGGATATTGAAATTAATTTTACTTCCGTAGAAGTGTCCATTAGCTGGTTCAATCAAACACTACCAGGAACAACTATAATATATGTTATCCACCCACGAGTTGAAACTGTAGACCTATGATGATTCTATTTTAATACGAATAAGTAGGCTCCATAAGTACATTTATGTCAAACGTGCACGTGTTCAAAAATATATTAACAAAACAAAATATAATAGCGTGATATAATACATAAATTTTTATACTGTGGGGTTATGAACATATCGTGTTTTAAGAGTGCCGTTATGCACTAATATTAATCGTATTTTGTGAAATTATAATGCAAAAAAGAAAAAATAAATATATTGTATAATACACAACATTTTATTCATCTTATTGCACATGTTTTAAGAAAGATAAAAGCATTATTTCAAATACCGAAAACATTTAAACATCGTGAATTCGCCATATACAAAACATACAGTTTAAATCTGCATATTACAAATACCAACAACAAAAAAGGAAATTTTGAATTTCTTAAAATACTTGAAAAAAATACATAATAATTCGAATCGAATATGAACATATTGCATAAATAAAATAAATAACTACATAATTATGTATCTTTACTCAGTTAAAAACCAATTATATTCTGAAATACATGAGCCGTTTTACCACGGTTTATTGATCATGGAACTGAAATTTCGAAATTTATCATATAATTGGAAAGTGTTTATCTGTTGCCAAGTTTTTAAAAGCTGTAGCATCAAAGACATATCCAGAACGTCGTGCATTCGGCTAGTTTCATGAGTGTTTTAACAAAACTCTTCAAGGGATTTTACCCACATGATTGTTCGTCCATAAAGTAATACACTAGAGCGCTGTCGAGGTCTTTCCCAACTAAGGATGTCTGATTTTAAGAATATGACTATCCCAGTGTAAATGACTTAAATCATCAGTAGAAAAATGTTTCATATAAGCCATAGTTGTTGAAGTCGGTATTCAGTTTAAACAAACAAAAAATGCATACTTACATTTCCTTGAAAAAGCCACAAATTATACAAACATGGTTAAGTGTCATATAATCAATTTATTTCTATACAAAAATACAAACAATAAATTTTTTATTCCGAATAAAATACATATATTTGAAGCAAGCTTTTAAAATCTTGAAGTTACATCTTTATTTTTATATCTACTCTTGAGTGAGAAAGTGTTGTATTGAACTGATGGCGATTTTGATGTGCATTTATTGTAAATAATGTGAGGCTTATAACGCAAACGCCTTTGAACAGATGTGTACTTTATGCTTATGGAGTGAAGTAATATTTGCTGACATAATTTCACATTATGTCTTTTGGGACACAAAAAAACTTAAAAATACTTATTTTATTTGGTCACTCTCTCGAAACATTTGATTCAAATGTTAGTATTTTCTTTTAATCAAAACTTTTAGGAGTGACAACAAAATTAAACTCTTAGAAAAAAAAATCCCCTCCTTAATAATAGTACTTGTTGAACTGTTAAAAAGTTGAATAGTGCAAAAGCGGTAAGACCAACTGATGTTCGTGACAAAAAGCATTACAACGTTAACATATTGAAAGACACGATATAAAACTCAATCTATTCCAGTTTATTTCTTCTTCCATCAAGTCTGTTGTTTGAACCATCTGGTACATTTAACATCTCCTATCCACATGGTCTGTAAAATAAAATGAACTTCCACATTTAAGAATTACATTTTGGTATATCTTTTTTAAATCATGTGATAATCCAGACAAATCAAAATCAGGGAATATTTCATTTATACTTATAAAAGTAAACAGAAGATTTAATTTCTGTTCAAACGCGTATTCTTCTTGTCAATAGTGTTATATTTGTGACGTTGATGGTAATTGCTTTAAATTTTATTGACGACATAAATTGCAAATTTTGAACATTACTGAATGTTAATAATCATTTCCGTTTCAAGAGCATTCATACCTGAACAAGTTCGTCATTAACTCGTTCCCTATGATATTTCTGAGGCTTGTCTTTTTCTGGTTCTACAGGATTGGCTTCGGTAATCAGTTTATTATTCTCCCACTTTGTTAAACACTAAAATATAAATATTCAAAGTTTTTTAAACGATGGTACTTCTCAATACCTTAATGACTAAAAAACCAAAAGCAAAAAACACAACAACAATTATTTGTCTTTCTAGATACTTGTAGTATGGCATATCATTCTAGGAATATATAACTATATACATAATATATAACATGTAACTAAAATCTCTAGTTCCAAAAGATATGATCAACAAGGAAAGGCGGCGTTCAATGATCGTTGACTTTTTATATATTTTTTAAAATCTTTTTTATCTTAATATAGCCTCAATCTACAGCGTGAATCTATCAACTCTAAATTATCGAATTAATTTCGATATATTTTAGGCATTTCTTGAGGCATTTCTAAATATAACATTTTGAGGCAATTCTGGATTTAACATTATTAGACCAATTAAATAACGCACTCTTAGTATAAAATTAAGTATATATTAAGTCTGATATAGTGGCAATCTTTGACAGCTTATATGACTTTTAATGGATAAAATAGTAGGATGATATTAACTGACGTTTCTATTTCCAGCTATTTCATAATTCAACACACATTTACTTTTTAGTCAATGACATATATAACATACTGCAGATGAACGGTTGAAGAACACAAACATATGAGATTTTTTTTCAAGCGACTACGACATATTATGCTCGACATACAAACAACGAGAATAAAATTTTCAATCAGTGGAATTTGTATATTTGAAGCACTGCCTTAAACTAGCGTGCATTTCCACAACCTTTAGCAAAAATATATCAATGTTTCCATATTTAATAAAAAAATAAAAAATAACGTTTTTTTAACTTCTTGGAAGAATAAATCAATTCTCACTTTCATTTTAATCCCTTCAAATTCTTGGTCATACGGTTCATTTATAGGAAAAGTCATAGTTTGTGTGAAGAACGAAGCTTTTGCAATAATCTTAACTTTCCCGTCTTCTACTTGTATTTCCATGCTTGGCTTGGCATGACTAGCTAACTTCCGGAAAACAACATTTAGTCCTGAAAATAAAGATTGAAGTAAACGTAATACCAATATTGATTTGTCATTGTCGAAGGTATCATAAAACTATATTTTCAAAATAATTGTAACATTTATTGCAACGTTTATTTCCCATATAAAGAACACCATTTTCTCGTTTTATATCAACTTTTTTTTCTATTTTAAACAAATGTATTCATAATTCTTCAATACTTTAAATTTTTTGTTGAAAATGGATCACAATAAAATTTTCTTTCTTACGCGATTGTAATTTTCCATTAAAAATCTTTGCTTTCTTTAATTATATTGATTTTTGACAATGCATGTTTGTATAAAACTAGTTTCTTTTCCCAAAGATAAATGATATGCAAATAAAAATTACCCGGAATATGAATTTTATTTTTAACTTTCTTTTCATAATATTTGTTATGAAAACAATTTTTAACAATTTTTTTGTGAATAAAATTAAGTTTGTTTAATAAAAATTTGTAAGATCATTGATCTTATTGAAACAGATAAAACAATAATTGATTTTATGAATGAATTGGACAGAAGGGCTAGAAACTAAAAGATCCGTGTCTGTTCTTTATACAAAACTCAGACAATTTTCCGCTTTAAAGAAAGTACCGTTATATATGTATCACTAATGTATCGAAAGTTATGACTCTTTTAATACTGAATAGTAATGCCGATAGGTATTTACACATTGCGATAAAAAGGATATGTGAATGCATTTCTTAACTTTTCTCAGGATTATTTATTTTAATCTACAGTATTTGACTGAAAATAAAAATGCTTTTTGAAAGTTCTTAAGTCCAAAAGCTGGTTTTATGTGCTAAGACTTAAGATACAATTAGGACATTCTATGAAACGCAGTGCTGTTGCTGTAATCAAGCTTCGCTTCGGGCAATAAACCTTCCGAGGTCTGACCAACCAGTCCGTAAACTTGCATATTGCCCTCAAAGCCATGTTTTATTTGTTAAATATTGTGCAATGTTTAACTATTGACACATATTGTATAAAGATATAAACTATGAGTAAATAGCTTTTTACATTTAATCGTACAACATAGTTATATTTTTATTGCTACATATCTACATGTAATTATTGTTCTGTTGCACTCAAAATGAAATACGAGTGGTCATGATGGCATTGCACAAATGCAGCAAAATATAACTAAAGTCGTTATTCTGTTACATATGACCAGTGGTTCATTAACGAATCATTATATGATAATATTAATATGTTAAACTTCATCCATTAATGTAGACTGCAATGTTTTCAATAACATTAATGAAATGAGTATGTTTAAGTGATTTCTTATTTGATTGTTTATTCGTTTCTCATAAACGAATTATTTTATACGATGATATTTATATGTTGAAACTTGATCTATTAATGTACACTGTTTACAATAACGTTAATGAATTGAGGTTGAAAAGTGATTTCTTATTTGATTCTGTATTCGATTATTCAGAATGCGAGCTCCCCCATTTTTTGAAGAGCCTCTTCAAAATTTTCAGACCTGTCTAACACCCATGAACCAGATAATTTATCTTTTATTTCATCTAGCTCTCTCCCCATTTCCAGATATTAGGGAAAGAATCTGTAGAATGTAATTAAAATGTATCCACTTACACCGATGTCTAATTTAAATAGGGTTTTGAGAAGTCGCACAGCTGCTTATTTTATTCCAAATGAAATCGTCCATGAACATTTAAATTTACAGTTTTCCTTTTTAAAAAACAATACATGTCTAACGGGTTTCACTTATAAAAATTTTTAATTTCAATATGATAGTGCATTTGATATTCCAATTAAGTTAATTTCACGAGAAACGACACTAAAGTATTACTTAACACCGACGTCTTATCTCTGTTATATATTCTACCGATATCATAAACGAAATTATTCTTATACCTTCAGTAATTTTAAAAGCAGAGGCTTTTAGTTACAGATCAGAAATCCACCACAAAGACGCTGCTACACTGCTGGACTAGTTTACTTCACTTTCATTCAGTCTTTTATACAAATTGAATTATAAATACGGTATTGCGCCTAAGTACTTGTCTATATCGGATCCAACAAAACATCATTTCAAAAAACCAAGCGGTATAACGGCGAAAACTTTCTTATATATTTTTCAGTGGCATTATACGTATCCAAGCCATCAAAGAGAAAATGGTAAGTGTTCAGGTACATTTAAGATAACAAATCTTTTTGTCATACTTGTTTTCAAATTTTTTATAATGATTCATCAAAAACTCCCATCCCCTTAATCGACATAAATATATTTCCGAAAATATTAGCAATGTTCGATTTATAAAAAAAAGTGCGGCAGCCTTTTTATGTTATAGGCATTTTTTTTTACATTTCATCGTTTTTATTTGTTACAACTATGGTTCAATCACTATGAAATATAAAGCTTTATTTATCTCGACAGTCAAAAATATGGCCATAATGTCACTTTAAATTATTTACTCTACTACCAACTGAAATTCATGAATGGAACAACTTACCCCCTTGTCGACGCGTTCAATGTTCATTAATCACATATTAAGCAATGTATATCAGCATAAATTTTATGGTGACAGAAAACTTCAGATACTTAATATGTTGATTTGGTACACATTGCGTGTTGTCGTGTCGATAACGAAAACACAACCTATATTGATATCGCCTTTTCATCGTGTCGTCTTGTCGCTAGCGAAGCACGCCAAACGGCGCGTTGTCGTGTGGTGCGTTGTTGCGATGTTGGCATTCATTCGATTTAGTCGAGCGACAATGTGACATCGCGACAACACGCCTCACGAAAACGCGCCGTTTGGCTTACATTATTAGCGACAGGAAGACAAGACGAAAGTTGAACAATGCGGCGCTTGGCGCTCTGTCGTGATGTCGCTTGTCGCTATCGAGAACGCGACGCACAAAAGTCTTCCAAATCAGCCTCCATAGATACTTCATAAAGGTTACGCTTTATAATATATTCGCATTACCTTAATATGAGTGCAGACATATGGAAACTAACAAATTTGTTATCACATCTTCATGTATAGCATAACATACATTTTGTTTTGAATATATTTGTTTAACAACTTCGATTTTTTAATCAGGTAGACTTTTAGCGATAAAATAATTCACTTTAAAGTTTATGTAAACTCTATGTTGTTAAGTTACGCAACAATTAGTATGCACGAAATGAACTCTAATAAAGCAATTAAGTGCACTGCAAATGAGCGCAAGTACTTATATACGTTCAATAACCACAGGAATTATAAAAACTTAGCTTTGTTTGTTGTGTTTTGTGTGCGTGTCATTTTTTTTACATTTTATATACCGCTATGAAATTATTTGCTATATTCATAAACTACTACAAACTTTTCTTTTATAAAGTGAAGCGATATTTTTTGGGGAAAGGTATTTTTTCTCTCTGAAAAATGTATTTTATTATCTAGACTATTGCGTTTACCTTAGAAAGAAAATAACGGGTTACTTTAACATGACTTTCCATTCAAATTAGAGTTTAAATGAGCTTATTTGTTTAAACCAAAAATGTTTTAGCAAAGTCAATAAAACATTTGTTTAATTGATCATTACATAAGATAAATGTTTAATGAAAATAGATTGTATGATATTTAATATGAATAAGTCGAATGCACTTCTATGCATTTTGCCCTTAAAATATACTTTGAGAATGGGTCTAGGTTCAATACCAAAATACCTAATTCGAAGTTATATTAGTGAGTATGGTTTCAATATGAGTTATATGTTATCAGACAAAACAGAACTAAAAACTAACGTGGAATATCGACCTTAAATATTTCATTTTCTAAATATACAAGTTTAAAACATAAATTTAATCTGTTTGTTAACAGAAAATGGTTAATATATCTTACTTTCCCCAAACCTTAAAATGAGCTTACGATTTTTTCTTTAGAAATGTACCATTTATTTCTGAGCAGTAAAATTCTACAACGACAGCATCATTTTTAGTTATGCCATGTCAGACGAGTCTTTTACCTTAACATACTTAAAAAATTATAAAAAGTAAAATTACAGAAATATAAAAGTTAATTTCTTAATAGTTAACTTTAAACATTTAGAGTCAATAAAATAACTCACCCATTGCCTTTAGAACTTCCTCAAAATTTTCTGACCTATCTAACTTCCATGTCCCTCCTAGCATATTCTTTACTTCATTATATTCACATTCCATCTTTAAATACACGATATGTTTATAAGTTAAACGATTGTTCAAATCTAACTTAGTGTTGTATTGCGACTACTGTTATATACAACCAAATAGACAATTAAGTATTTCCGCCTTGGATGTTATTAACCGCAAATAAGTCAATGTTCAGTAAAAACCCTTCTAGGGTTGATATTTATTATCGCCTATATTTAACATTGTTAATTTGTTTACAAAAATCTTTAAGCTGACAATTCTTAAAACAAAATCAATATTTACTGTTTCCTGAAAAAAACAAACATTTTCTGCGCCTTTTAATTGTGACCAAAAATGAGAAAACATTCGTCGATGATTTGAAAGTGGTTCTATCTTGGCTCAGTAAACAGTTAGCGACAGTTAAACTGGTGGTGAACATATCTTGCAGAGAAGGGTGATAAGGGTTTAGAGCAGATATCATGCATACACTAGATTGCAACATCAAACAAATCACCAAATAGAATTGTCTACTGAATGTTAACTTAATTGACTTAAAGAAAGTGTACGACTTAGTGGACAGGGACACGACCTGACAGATGTATAGGTATTATGGTATCATATGCAAGATCGTCAATATAGTTTATAAAGATTGCCTTTATGTATGATGTTGAAACCTGAAGAAATACCAAACCTGTAAGAGTTGTATAATTGCTTTTAAATGTATAGGCTAGTTTAAAGGGTAAATAACTTTTCCATTATGATGTTGCATGATAAAAAGATTTATTTTCATTTATATGATGTTGACACAGATTTAAGCAAGGGAGAATGTTATATTGCCAATTACATATTTTGAACAAATGTCAATAAATAATCACGTGATCAAACTAGAAATAAATTGATAATAATTAATTAATAATAAATAAAATTGAATTGTTAAATAGATTCAGTATTAGATAAGGCTTTTGAAAATAGAAAATAAATCACATATTTCATATTATTAAACAATCCCTTACCGTGAATTATATTCATCACTTAAATAGAAAATACAATAATATAATGTTTTTCATGTTGGTTATTTACTCATGCTTTTTATTATTGATACACTGGAAAGTGATACTATAATCCTAATGTCAGTGAATACTTCAGTCGAGCAATCTCTTAGTTGCCGATCATAAACCATTTAATCAACCAGTGTCTTTTAAAAGTGCATGGTTATGCAGACGGTCTTTTGTGCACTTCAGATATTTCGTTCATGCTGGTTATGTTAAAGTGAATATGTTCATAAAAGAGGTTATGTTATACCATAAATGATAATTTTGATAGTATTAAGTATTAAGCGTGACAGCAAAACACGACTAAACTATATATGCCTTTTATTGGTAAGTGGGAGTTGCATGATCCGATATTATATATTTTAGCAGATAATGAATTATTTGAGTATTACGATCAAACTAAACTAATAAGAACTCACTCGATCAACATTTTTCAAGAAATATATTGTACGACTATCCACAGGAAACATTTCCATTGTTTTTATAGATAATTGAAATACTTTTAGAAAATTTGTCCGTTTAGACTTTAAATCGTATGGGATTTGTTAAACATCCCTATTCATTTTGATATTTGAGAAGGATGCGTAATTTGAATCAAATGCACATTACATTATGTTTCAAATATCCCATAAGCCCCTCTCAATTGATTCAATTTAGGGTTCCAAACTATAAATCGTAAAATGGTATAGAATGATTTAAACAACATTTTCTTTAGATTGATTTTTTTTTCAAATTCGGAAAATAATTATCAATAAATATAAATTTAAGGGAAAGGTAAATCCGATTTTTCTTCAGCAAATTAAATCCGCTTTTAAACATATTTGATACACATATTATAAACGTAACAGTCAATGTTTAACACAAATGGTTAATGCGAATATTATAGAAAGAATTGGAAAATAAACGTGAATAATCAGAAAATCTCTTCAATGCCATGTTTTATGTCTTCAAGTATTTTCACTTCTGGCCTGAATTATATATAAAATAAATGTATTTGTCCCGTCTTGATTTGAGAAATGTCAAATATATTAAATGTAAGAAGCCAACATGTTAAAGTTTGAAACATTGAGATTATGTTCTTTCTTGATTATGTTCTAGCATTCAGATGACGAAATTCAATTTAAAATAAGTTTTATAAGGTAACTGATATTAAGGAAAAATCTCTATTTGATGATTATGTTAAGAACGTTATACACTAGATAAATACTAGAAATTAATGAACTATAACATTAATGCACCGAAAGAATGAATGGTTTATATTAATAGTGTTTAACCACTACAACTGACGTGGTGTATTTATCACCAAACTTACTTACTTACTTACTTACTTACTTTAAATATGATGCACTGGTTTAATAGTCTTGGCTGCAATAGGTTAAATTAGTAAAAAAAATAAAAGTTCGGTATTTATTCATTTTTATCAGAATAAGTTTTTTGCATTCATCATACAGAAAGGTATGTGTTCTTCATTTATATGATTTAAACTATTTTGGTATTAGAGCTGGAGTAATCGATACAAATTTTCAGATTTAATTTTTAGACATTTACGAGAATGTTGATTACAAGAAATACATGATGCTGGAAATTTAATAATATTACAATTAAGCAAAAAATGAACGGATGATAAATACATGTAAAAAAATAAATTGAATAAATAAATTATAAATAAATAGATAAAATCAACGATAAATGCTACATCGATGTAATCTAAGTAGATTTAAATAGAATTTGAACAATTCATGCAATTTATCATAGCGAAAAAAACATTTTTTAAATGCATCGTATACCAAATGTGCAAGAAAATGAAGTTTTTCATGTAAATGAATTGAAATGCCTATGATTTCTTTCTAGGCTATTTGTCTATATATAACCGTGGCAACGCTTTTTAAGTAACGAGTGATCATTTTTTATTAGATATTTTTCTTAAGTAAATCATGTGCGTAAAATAAATTCATCAAGAATACCACAAACATTAAATTTTGTAGACATGGAATTTAGCTGTGCCAGAGTTTCTAATGTGCATTTAATTAACATGATGATTTTCTTTTTTACCTTTTTAACGCAGTCATTGTGTTCTTTGCATAAACATGATTATTTCTTGAGATGAAATATTCGCATTATTAAAACAGTTTGATCATTTATGGTCGATGTATTAAAACTACAGTCATTTCTATCGGTGATAAAGAGATAGGGCACAAAATGCCACGTGGTGATAAATCTATAAACAAGGCTCAGTCAAGTTATTTATTTCATAATAATTATAATGATTTTTTATTTCAGTTTTAAGAAGAAAGTAATAATTCATGATAAAATGTTACACTGGAGGAAATATCGAATTTCTCCACCACAGTATTAAATGTCTGATAAATATCCAGCAAAATGTCAACCTGGTAATTCGAAACGAAATTGCATATTTTCCATCACGAAATTGTCCCCTATCCACAAGGAGGACTTTTATGTTAATCTTATTGGAAATAAATGTCAATTACTCTTGAATACAGCGGTTTTATTATTATTTATACAAATAGTTTTTTTCCTCATTCTTAAAGACATCTCTAACATCAATGATATGATTTTTTTTGAAAATAATGTTCATTTAAACACGTGTGTCCTTTTAAGCTTTGCCTGATAGCGCCACTTATTCATTCATGAAATAGAATTTGGAATATATCTCTTCGTAACTAAAAAGACATAAAAAAATCCATCAGATTCAGTTCGTTATCGCTTACTACAAATTTGGCAAAGTAACAATATATAAGTTAATTTGAAAATATTGGATTAAAATATTTAATTGAAGTGACATATGTGTTTTGTTAAAAAACAAAATACACTTGTAATTCAAGCAGCAAAATCGTCCTTGGAACTTAGTAATTTTCTAACAACTGTTTTCATATTTATATAGATTTCTGGTGACAAAGACATATGAACTTTGAAATAAATTGCCAGTGAATGTTAGTGTGTCAGTTTGCCACTTGTTTCTGTCTGCGGTCTCATTTGGTATGAATAACTTATAATACGTAGACATATGAGATATTTTTTACTTAAAACAAAAAAGGAAACATAAAATTCTTTTTCAACGTTAAATAGAAATTTGAAGGAAAGTAACAAAATGTGAGTTTATGTTTAAAATTATTGAGTTAGACAATTATTATACTTTTTTAGTAGTTATTAAAAAACAGCAACAAAAACAATTGTACTTTGTTTTTTGAAAGAATTCTTTGAATGCCAACATCCCTTCAATCTCTAGTAGTTAATTATTCAGAAAGTTATGTGTGTGTTTCTTTATGTAACCATGGTAAAGTAAGAGAAAGTGCAAACGTCAAATAAAAAAAGGGTCAATGAGTTCTATTCAGCTAAAGAGCCATTTGATAAACAGTTAACATCTTTATTAAAATCATATGATGAATTAGCCAAACACTTACCAGTATCTAATTTGATGATGTAAAATTTATCCTAACACTCTAGACAGTAGATTATAGTTAACACCTTTAACACTATTTTTTAAAGCCTCATATTAAACGATAAACGAAATGCAATTGTAAAAGTAAATGCGATGAAATGTAAGATGTCTTTGTCTGCAACGATATTGTAAGTGTTAGATATTTACATCAGCTAAAGGGTTAAACAAAAGATAAACGTTATATGGATAAAATCAATAATAATATTTTACGACAGTTCCATTACCAATCCTAATACTCATTTGATTGTGAATGTTCCTCTTGTAGGAAAATTTTGAAAATATATAAATGAATGCAAAAGAATACGGCATCAATGTAGACTACAACGATATTCGAAATCCGAGTTTTAGTATCTAGTAAGTGACAAGCTTTTAAACTGAGTCTGCAATTTCTTAAACATAATATCACAATGCACATGCTTTTTACATAAAGTTATTAAATACAAATATAACAGCATTTTTGTTTACTTGATTTTTACAAATCAAAATAAAACTAATTAACACAACATGACATTAACTGCTAATAATAACAGCTCCTTCCATAGGCCAAAATAAAAAGCATTCCATAAGAGACGACGCCGCCCACCGACGTCGCCAATAAATAATTTTTTTCTCAGAATTTATGTAATATTTCACTTGAGCGTATGCTTTAAAGCAGGAGGCCGCAAGAAGATAACAGAAAAAGTAACGTCTTACATATATATCAAAATCCCTCCCCAAAATCATTATATTGTTAAAAGAAATCAAATTTAACACTTTTTTTAACATTCTTACTCTTAAACTTTAGCTTGAAATATGACTAGGGTCTATAGCTACTCATTGACAGACATTGATATACGACCCCGGGTGTACTGGATACCGGACCACCGCTATGACACGTGACCATGTTGAATGAATTATCTTTTCCTATTTATACTAACTATTGCGTTAGTAACGTAGTAGATTATGCATGGAAGAAACACGATATATTGACTCTTTTGTTAACATTCGTTCTTGAATTAAGATGTCAGTGATGATGGATTAACATATTAAATTTCACAAAATCTTAATTGATCGTTTACTTGAAACTTATTTTTTTCTTTTCATTTTACCATCTGGAGGTCAGTGGCTTTAAAGCAACTTTTCCCTCTTTGTTAGAAAATTGGTTCAGTATGCTTCATAAAAAATATGTACAGTAATAACTTCATTTTTTCATACGTTACATGTTTGCGTTTTATTTAATTTGATCGATGATAACTCAATATTAAATCCTGAAATGAAACTTGTTAATATTAAACACACTAAATATTAGAATACTTCTACTGGATTAAACGTACATACAACAATAAAGAAGCACAATGTAGTTTGAGAACAGCGGCATTCCATGTGTTCTTTACCGGTATGCAATTTGGCAATCATTGAAATATTCTGAACTTTCAATGATCTCCATTTAAACATTGTTGAGTAGTATCTAGAAAAAAAATCGTATATTATATTCTATTAAGCAAATCAAGATATGTTCTTTTTAAGTTCATTTGTAGTTTATATAATTGAACCGTGTCATGACAATACCAACATAATGAGTTTGCGACCAGCATGGATCCAGACCAGCCTGCGCATCCGCGCAGTCTGATCAAGATACATGCTGTTCGTTATAAACCCCCTTACAAGTAGAGAAACTGATAGCGGATGCGCAGGCTGGTCTGGATCCATGCTGGCCGCAAACGCATAACGTTGGTTTTGTCGTGACGCGGCTCATATGATAACAATACCTATCCATGAAAATATTACCTACTAGAACTTTCCAAGTCAAACATATCTGCATTAAAAGTACTTAACAACTACTGCGAATAGTGACGCGAGGCACATGATAAGATTTATTTTTTTCCTCCATTCATCATAAATACTAAACATTGCTTTTTTCTGATTTGTCGGCGTCTGTTGCATATATAAATTTGCTACATTTAAATACAAAGGGATCTTATACTTTATAAGATACGACTTTCATTATATAATATTTTTTATAACATAGTTTAAAGTATTATTTCCCTTTATTGTATTTTATTTGCGTTTAAATGCGTTTCTATATATATTTTAGAATTAGACTGCAACATACAAGCTGTCTAACAGGAAGCAAATATTGTATAAAATGAATGATTTTCTGTTCTGTTTGCAACTACCGTTTAAATGAATGAAGATTTTGAAATCTTAGTTTAAACATATTTTATTGCATTACATACATGTTTACAAACATATCATACAAATAATGAGTATATATCAAAATGCAAATTGTTTTTTTATATTAGCCCAGACATGCATAAATACTCAAAATTTTAACTATTTGCACTTTTTTCTTTTGAAGTATAAAATAAAGAAAACTTTCCTCTTCCATATTCAACGATTTGTTTCATTAAGTCACTTGCAGTGAAATTTTCTGGTTAGTTACCCTGTGATACAGTTGATTGCATCTACCTTCATAGCTATAACTACCACCTCTATCAACTGCCCAAGAGGTTCCGTTCTTTGGCTTCGAGGTCTAGAACATTGTCACGATTGCTTTCAGATTGGAGGTCGTGAATTCTTACTCCAGCCTCGGGCCTTTGTAATATACAAATGTTTTGAACTTAAAATGTTTTGGTTGTCTGCCCGCTGAGATAGAACTGTGTAAAAAATTGGCGAAACTATTCTATTTCAGAAAATACAGCAGTCAATAAAGTAAACATGAAGACAATTTTGTTTTCAGAAGGTACGTATTCGATTAAAATATTTTTTTCGCAAGTATTCAGGCGTCTATGACATAGAGATGACATAATTTTCATAAAAGATGTAACATATGAGATTCTGTAAAAATTGTCACTGTGAAGCTATAAAGCTTTATTGTTTTCGGTATAAAAAGTAAATATTTCGTTATTTTTGTAATATTTTGTACTTTGTATGAACAATAGTCCACAATAGTCTGATGAAATCTTAGTCTAAAGAATAAATAAGCATAATGTCCAAATTACTTCTGACACTATGTAATATTTGGTACTTTGTACTGACAATAGTCCACTATTGTCTAATGACATTTAAGTCATTGTATAAACAGCTCATACAAAGTGTGTCTTGACTGTTTAATTTACTATTTCCAAGTGCGCTTGAGCTGCATGCATTTAGGCGGGAATACATGTTACAGAGAATCATAAGACGTATAGACTTTTTAGTGATAACATAAATGAATTATAAGTACATAATTCTACAGTTTTTAATGTTTTTACTGAGAAATTAGTTTGAGATACTTAAGATTGCAGATAAATTTAATATACATATCTGATTGAGCTGCTTTTGATCTTTAAACGATGCGCTACTGGTCATTACGCCCTGACAAAGAATTTTGATGCCCTATGCAATGGTAACCAACTGTCACAGTGCAAGCACCTTTGTTCGTCAGCTAGAGTTACAATGTAAAATGTATTGAATATTTATTTATTGATTGATAAAGCATGTTGTATATATAGTAACCAAATTGTACTTTTGAACTAATTTATTCTAAACAGATAATTTATAGACAGATCATTTGGGTAAGAGAGTCGACGATAAGGCTTTGACAAAACACCAGACATATCTGGGATTCTGTATTCTAATTTCAGACATCAGTTATTTGAATTCTTGTCACATATGACGGACTTAGCCACACTTAACCTTTCTTGATATTGTGTAACTTTAGAAATTCTGTTTTTCTCTATCTTAAATTTATTCATTGAAAGATAAAAGGGTAAAAATCGAGACCAGATTTTACTTGTTTTGTTGTTTGCTGGTTTTTCATAAGAGTGCATTCTGTCAAATAAAACTGTTTATGTTCTATTTCATATATTGTTATAATATCATGTAATATTATTTTCAACCATTTAAATGATTTCTAAAATTGTCCCAATAGATTTAATGGATAAAGTTTGCAAAAGGACAGAATCCAAATTGCAATTATATAAAATTGAGATGAATAAAAAAAAAACAACCCATACTTTACGTTTTTAAAGTGTTCAAAATGGCCACTCTTAACCTGTTAACTATATTGTTTATGGAATACTTTACTTATTTTATCAATTTTATTTTATAATTCATGTAATTAATGTACACTGATTGATTCTAATAGGTCTAGAAACCTTATATCTAACTTTCGAGCTAATAAGACGTACCATTTGTCAAAACAAAGCTGAAACCTAAAATATTTTGGCAATAATTTACAATATCAGTTCGCATTTGACTTTATTGGTTTCCATAATTGTCTTATATCAAGATCACGATGCTTTATATAAGAAGGCTGTTTTCTTGAAGAGAAATTATTTCCTTTTAGTCACGAATTAGAGCGTTTTGGAAACAGTTATATTTTCAGCTATATTAAACTTTGATAAACTGTTGACAAATAAAAAAAAGATTAAAAAACTAATAACCAGTGTAAAACCATCCACCCTCAAAGCGGAGGGCCTAAAATATAATTAAGTGGGACTAAATAAATATATATCCGACCTAAAATCTTGAGAAAAAAAAATGGGAGGCTATGTTGAGGAAAAAAATAAACAAGTTGTTGGTACATGGGAACTCGACAGAACAGACAATTTTGATGAGGCTCTTGAAGCTATGGGTGAGTTGCTAAAATTCTATAGATTAGAAAAATACGTTATATGACGTGATTCTCAAATAAAATGTTGCAATGAGTGAAATCTATGATATAATAGATAATAGTTATTGAAAAGTAAAAATCAAATGGACCGTGATAAAAACCGATAATGAAATAATGTGTTTTATGTTGATGACTTAATTGTTTACATGTATAACAAAATATCTTTTAGGCATGTCTTTAAAAATATCAAATATTATATAGAGTTTCCCAACAATTAAATACTCGTATATATTGATTTTATATTTTATTTTTAGAACTGTTTTATTTAGAGGACACAATTGTAACTAATAACCCTCATGCTGATACTCTGTGATACTTATGCGAAATAAAGTCAGATGTCTATTGAAATGACTTATTTAACAGTTTGATTTACGTGAATATCATGTGCAGGTTTTCTTACATTTGCTAGTAATTAAGTGGTATACCTAACTAGTTAGCAAAACAACACTTAAACCTTTCTCACATGCTTGTTTTGTAACAGGTTGTTTGTAAAGATAGGAAGCTTTAACGGAATGTTAAGTGTTAGTGGTAAATATTTTCTTATAATTCCGCCTGGAGACTGACGAGCAGGTAGATTTACAAATGTCTGTGTAGTTATTGTATAGTTCAAAGCTTTTTGTCGGATTTGGCATTTACAATTATACTTTATTGAAGTAAGTGAGGACTAAGTTCATGTATATCGCGTAATAATCTAGAGCTAGACATATAAAAGACATCATCAAAACATTTTTAATTGGAATCGTAGCATTTGTTGATAATAAGGATTGTATAAATAAACCTTATAATAATACCTAAATAAAAGGGAAGAAAGAAAACAAAATGTATCTGTAACATAGTGAAACGTTTTTGTTCGTTAGAAATTATATTCCTAAGATCATTTACATAATGGGAAGTGAGCAGTTAAATGAGGTCAGTGAATCATTAGCTGGTAGCTGGTTACTGGACCGGACCGAAAACTTTGACGAAGCATTAAAAGCAATGGGTTAGTAACAACAATCAACAGAATTTTAAAGATATACTGTGCTCAACTTTGATATTAGAAAATATTGATAAATGCTGCACAGACACTTTTTAAATAAAAATAAACATGTTTTGACTTCACACAAAGTAGATGTTTTTAAAATTCTACATGCTATAGGTGGTCATAGTGTCATTAAAATATGGCAGTTTTATTTAAGAAACGACCAATTTTACTTGACCTGTAATAAGGAACGCAGCTTCAAATACATAGTTGATTCTTTTATTCAAATTAGATATATTCAGTAAGAATTTCATAGGTATCGGTAAATAATTTTGATTAAAATATACTACTCAATTATGAGCATAGTATATCTTTAAATTATTTTCTATATGCACAAATATCGAATATCGTTTTTATTTACAACACAACTCAAATAACAATATCATTAATCGAGTCACTTAGGCATTTAATTTCACTATTCCTTATAGAAGCTTTTGTAAGATATTTGTATTTTTCCATAATATTGGTTTAGGCTCTTGTCAAATTACGCATTTGAATACATGTTTATGAATGAGTATCTTAAGTTAATCATTGCAATTTCCTGTACCAAATTTCAATACTAGTATTTAGATTTCATATTCTTGTCGTCCAAAATATTTATACGAGTAATTCAATTGCTGTTTCCTGTTTTACTAATAATAATGCTTGAGATTCTTAAACCGTTTATTTAAAAATGACTTTCCATTTCTTTCTCATGATTTGTGATAGCATCTGGTTGTGTATCATTAAGTTACCTATTTGATACATTCATCTGCTCTTCAAAATTACAGTGAGTTTTTATATTTATCTTTATGACTTTACTATTCAGGTAAATCAAAAATATCATATATCTGAATCATAACTTATTCATTATTTGTGATCAAACTATGTGCCTGTAATAATATGTCCACGTGTTTCCAAATTATGCTGGTCAACTAGTAGAGAAGTACTTTAAATATACTAATTCCAAGTCGCTCTTACAATTCATCAAATGTAAGATATTGCTCAGGTCTTAATCTGCAAACAAAATTTTTCTTTATCATTGGCGTAACGCTGTCTTGACCAAATTATGAAATATTTCTATTTCGTATAATGTACAGACTGTCTATCTGGGATTCTTTAATAATACATAATATAAAGAACTTTATCAACAGTGCATCTTGCATTCCTTTCAGACAAGTGGCTTTTCTGCACTTTAACAGTACGATTTACAATAATCATTTATTTGCGTATCTTGCAGTAACGCCAAAGAGTCACTTCTTTGCACTTTTATAGTACATTATATTTTGTCGTTCTTAAACTTTTTGTTGATTTGATGATATCATAAACCTAATAATACGATTGTTTTCTTTTTAAAAGTCTTTTATATTCGTTGTTCTAATACTTAATTTTCCAAAAGTTACTCGATGGCTATATAACCGAGTCATCATTTGCTTCTCTTGCCTTTCAGAAACAAGTACACTTAGAGTGATTTAGTATTTTGTATGGATTTTACAATACGATTTTCAAACATAAATCTATAGTTATTCCACCTTCAACGTAATTTCCTTTAGGTATAAAGCATCTTATGTATTTTCATTCTATTATATCATCGTTATAAATTGCATGTTTGTCCTTTTTACAACCCAATATTCATTGCATTGGCATAACTGTGTCTACTCTTGTAAATGAGAGATACCGTTTTTCTGTACTATCAAAAGTACGACATACGATAATAAATTTAAAAATGTAAATTATAGATATGCATGCAAGACCGAAATGGTTTTTGTTTTCAACCAATTAAACATATGAAGCCAAAACAAATGAACAAACGCAAAAGATGTAAGAAATAAGATGACATAATAAATTCAACGAGTTAGTTACTGCGGATACAATTGGAATCTGGGTAACGCATTTACAACTTCGTTGCATTTCTGTCATAGTTCAGTTTATTCTCGTTTTACTGTCAATCATATTTATAGAAAGAAACATTTATCCTGATAAATATAACATAAACAACTTCATCCCCGGAATGCTAATTATATGCCTTCAGTCTGTCAAACCTTTAGTCTATTTAATACTTTCATTTATTATGTTTAACATTTTTTTAAATATAAATGAAAAAAAAATACATTACATAAATCCAGCAGGTCAAAATGTAGAAATAAAAAACAACAAACAATGAAAATAAGGTGACTGGGCTTGGCAGTCATGCATCTAGTCACTAATGTCATTTTAATTTGCAAAATACTGTTATTGAGATGCAATAGGTCGATCTAACGCTGCCATCAACGTCATGTTTAAGACCATCATGTTTATATGATAAAGGAAATTTGAATAAAACATAGAATATAAAAAGAATTAAGTCATTGTCAAATTCCAAAATTGACGCATGTTTTACTTCAAATTTGGAAATAAAATTGTGTGGATTTATTTGAGACATATAATTTTGCTCCTTGTATTTTTCGACAAGTAATCGAATCTTTAAATTGAAATGACAAGACATGGTAGGACAAAACATATTATACATTCCGATTTTTGGTAGATAACATGTTCTTTTTTGAAAATATTCAACTGGATTTAATAGAAATCAGTCTAAATTATTTATCAAGTGCGCTTTTGCATTCATAATAAAATGGCTTTTAGGTTAATGTTGCACTTTTATAATAGAACGTTAGTGAATGAATTGGTTTACCGTCGGAAATTGTGAGATATTCGTCTGAATAGTTCATTGACACTACGATTATATCCTTTCTTTGTCGTATGAGCGTGAGAAATAAAAACACATTATTTATTTGTATAATTCATAGTCGATTGATATCATGCAATTTTCATTCCATGGGACTATTTAAACAGAAAATGTGTCTTTTATGATGTTATATTGTATTTTATACAAATATTTATTTAAATCAGTAAATGCTAAAAACATCTGTTCTAATATTTATAAACTTGTTCATTTAACTCTCAAATTTTAAACTATTAGAGTCCCTTACATTTACATTGGCTCGAAATATTTTGTTAACAATTTCATATTCTCCTCGGTCTTTAAGTCCGTTTAGTTCAATAGAGGGAGAGAGTATTGTCCGCTTAGTTCAAAAGAGAGTATAAGTCCGCTTAGTTCACTAGTGAGAGTATAAGTCCGCTAATAAAGAGAGTATTAGTCCGCTTATTTCAATAGAGAGAGAGAGTTAGTCCGCTTAGTTCAATAGAGAGAGTATTAGTCCGCTTAGTTCAATAGAGAGAGCGTATTAGTCCGCTTAGTTCAAAAGAGAGAGTTTTAGTCCGCTTAGTTCAAGAGAGAGTATAAGTCCGCTTAGTTCAATAGAGAGTATTAGTCCGCTTAGTTCAAAAGAGAGAGTATTAGTCCGCTTAGTTCAATAGAGGAAATATTAGGTTTGTAACCCAGGGGTCGCTGGCGAGGCAGAATTTCTCCTTGACAACTGTGTGTAATAATAATATAATCTCTTATCGCTGGTTCAGAAATCATATGAGGATAAGTAGTCAATAACTTGCAAAAAGTGGTTATTGCTTGTTACATGTAGTTAACGAACAGACAAACAAGTTTTTCATCCAACTATTATTTAGTATAATTATTTATTAAGTATTAAGTAAAAAATCACATCAAACTAACTAATTGGTAACCGTAATAACTTTTCAACAAATTCACATTTATATAAATTTTCATGTAATTCGATCCTCCTATTTGTCACGTTTTTCTTTCTTTTCATCGATGAACGTTTTTCTCGTTTAAACTTTATATTGTGTCAGTGAAAATTAAATAAATTCAATGTCTGGCTAGAGTTGTGATGTTTCATTTTTGTTTGGTTTTCTAACAGAAATTTATCTGGAAGGCTAGTGCTGACAGAGTTGTACAATTTGTTTGTAACAAATTAACAAAGAAGTTCAGGCGATAACATACTTTCGCACAAGGGGCTTGTCAGAGATCTGTTTGCGGTAAATAAACATAATATGAAATACATACTAGTATTTCATTTGGTTATTGGAGAATAGTCGAAATACATCACACAGGATGTTTACAGGACGGCTAAGTTTAATTTTTAAGACATAAAAAAAGAAATAATTTAGAAAAATGGAAAGTAAATGTAATGAAATAAAAAATGAACTAGGAGGGACATGGAAGCTTGATAGGTCAGAAAATTTTGAGGAAGTTTTAAAGGCAATGGGTGAGTTATTTTGTTTTCATTTTTTGAATGTTTAAAACCTTTAAGAATCAGAATATACTTTATATTCGTATACTTTATAAGTATAACTTAAAGTATTTGGATAGTGTATGTTAATAAATACAGTAATATGTTTCTCTGGTAATCGAATAAAGAGATCACAAGAGTCGTCCAGTATGGCGCTATGGAACTTTCTCTGCGTTGATTACTTTACATTTGCAGATGAATAAAGGTTTGTTCATTTTTTAACTTGATTTAAAGTGGCGTCCATGGACAAGTGGTTAAGGTTATTGACTTCGAAGAATTTGTCCCTCGCCGTTTTGGATTTTCTATCTGCCAGGGACTTTGGATTTGTTCTTGTGTTGAAGCTATCAAGCTGCCTGAATATGCTCAGGCTGAACTAATTCACATTCACCGGAGGTCTTCCATCTCCAGTAGAGCTGAAAAGTCGCCATATTTGTATGTCATGCTCAGAGCTAACTTAGTATCATGCTCATAACTTAGTGTTATTAATTGAAAAATTCCTTTTAAAAGGTAATTTGGTAATAAAAAATAGTACGAGCACTGAAACTAAATTGCACGTTTGAAATCTGAAAGAAATCAAACAGTTGCTTTCATTTTGTTTCTGAAAGTGCATGACATATATAAGCCACTTGATGATACTCCTTGAAAAAACCGTTACAAGTGAAAAATTAAAATTAGTTTAATACTCTGACAGAGCAACATGAATATTATCATTTTACAATTTCTTACAGACAGTTTTCACAATATTCTTATTTTCTTATTCCCTCATCAAGTATTTTATCAAACAGCTATATGCAAATACACTTTTAATACAAGGCACTCAAACATGATGTTTAATTTTCATTTAAATTAACAAGTTTATCATTTTAGTTATAACCATGTACGTATTGTTGTTTTTGTGTGTGCATTTATCTGTGTACACACGAAGCAGTTTGCATGAGCTGTAGAAAAACTTAATTCCTTTAAGACACGTTTTCAATTTTCTTAAGCATAATTATTATATAACACAAAGTAATGCATTTTCCTATTTTATCTTATTTGATCTTTTATTTGCTTTTTGAAATTGAAACGTGTAGTATTGACATTGCAACGTGTAATTTAGGTGCAACACATAAACTTTTCTTTACTCTAAATGAACCAGAAACACATTCGAAAGCTGATTTGTATCATGTCTATGGTTTACTTAATATTTCGGGTTTTAAGATAATGTAAAATATGCATCTGTTGCCAATATATTTCGTTCCTTTCATACACTTGAATCAACTGCAAGCATATTTATATCTCGGCCGTACATCGTTTCATATTCTAATAGTTTACCCCTATAAATAAAATAGGGCAATCAAGTGCTTTATTACCTGATATATGCAAGCATAAAAACCTATGTTTACACGTCATTTGACACAAGATATGACGTCAATAAACCAAGGGAACTCAGGGAAATTAATTCAACGCTCAATGTAGTTTAACATATCTATATGAATTCTTGTTTTTATCATCATGTTAGAAAGGAAATAGATATATTAAATTTGTGTTGCATTAAGCACAATAATACACGTTTTATCAGTCAAATGCTTTGTCAAATGCTTTGTAATTCATCAGTCAGGCATATCGGTCTTCGTGATTATATTCCTACGCATTTGACTGCAATAATGTATTCAAAATTGATATATATTATCCAAATTTTTTTATGTATGGTTTTAAAGCAAAACATATGTAGGATAACAAAAAACTCATCAGTTCTTAATTGAAATCAACAATTATTGTGCATATGTACTTCCTTGCAGTTGCAGTGCACTTTATGACTTTACAGAGGGTAATTCCGTACACATTCCTACGGATTACAATATTGTGAACGCTATAGGTTATGTATTTTATAACTTTACAGACGGTAATTCCTATATTTTAATGCTGAACAAATACAACATTATTTCTGAACGCTATAGTTTATATATTTTAAAACGGGAATACCGTCATACAAACATTCAGTTTACTTCCTTATTTTAAAAGCAAATTAATTAAAATGGTTTTCAAGAAGGTGAAAATATTTTGAAGCTTTAAATTACTATTCAAACATATATACATGTATATGTGTATGATTTTAGTGATAGCGAAATCCTTTAATTTCAAATGTTTTTCATTTGATTTAAAAGAAATATTCAAAATAAATGTATTATTTATCATTTGTTGATGCGTCAGAATTTCAGCCATCTTTAAACGCTGCGTGATCGTTGGAGGCGACTAACTGAGTTCGGATGATTTTAGTCTATGCATCTCTTGGCTCCAGCAGGTAAGGTGGTTTTGACCCCTTGTGTTTTTTTTAAGTTTGTAACACCCGAGTAAAGCCATAATCATCTTTCTAGTTTCATATGATCTAAAATGTGATGGTGCGCCGTAAACCATAGACAGTATTATAATACCATAAACAGAACAGAAGGGAATTTATGGATTTTATTACACTATATTATGATTTTTGAACATAACAATTCCTCGTCATTAAGAGAATATAACAGCAAACATTAAATACGACATAAACTAACGTTTATTGTATGATCATGAATTTAAAATCAAACATTATGGTTTGGTCTTTTGCAGATGTATACCTTTTAGCATACTTTATCTTTCACATCAAACTTTTTTTGCTAAAAAATGATTATTAAAAGGAATAATAAAAACCGTCTGGCAGATGCCTTTAACAGAAAAAATGGTGACAGGGAAAAATATAATTAAGGATATATAATTGCCGTGAAAAAGTAACAAAACATTACTATAAGAAGCTGTATTATTATCAGATTTAAATCAGCTTTTATCGGAATTTGACATTTAAATATTAATTCAAGGATATGTAAAAAGATTTATTTCTCCGTTTTCGGAAAAAATATGTTTGCGTTCTTGTCAAATATAGTCCGAAACACAATTCCAATGCGCGTGAAATATGTTTTGACAAATGCTACTTTTAAAATTGACGATTGACTGACAGAAACATTTTATGAATTGTTTCATTGAAAACAAAATATCTTAGCTTTAAGAATAAGTTGCATATAACAAAACAAATAAAATAGAAAAAAGAAGCCGTTTTGGATACATTTTAATTATTTATCTTATCACATGTTTTCTTAAACAACCTGGAATATGGGGAGTAATCTCGATGAAATCAAAGAAAAATTATCAGGTTCATGGGTGTTAGACAGGACTGAAAATTTTGAAGAGGCTCTTCAAGAAATGGGTGAGCTTGATTTTTATTCGAAAGAAAGCGGAAATAGAATAAATGTATATTTTGATCTCGTTATGTTTTAATTTACTTTAAACTCCTTTATTTGTTCACTTTACAATTTACTACTGTCATATACATTTTTCAACATTTTAATGAAAATCAACATGAATCTGGAGTCTGGTGCTTTAAAAAAACATTTGGTGAAATAAATGCAAATATTCACGAAATGTAGAAATAAAAGATAACTACTGTAGTTGAGATGTAATTGTAATACGTTCAATATAATTTTGTTTAACGAAATGGACATTTCTGATTATTCTGTTAATGGCTCGAAAAAGAAGAGTGGTAATTATTTGGCATATTTGGCGACAATAATCATTTGTGTTCTTTTACTAGGGAAGTTAAATAGAAACTAAATACTTTAAAAACTACTCTAAACTAAAAACAAAAGTTATTTTGTATTTCTAATTATATTCACATTGATTTCATAAAAGCGAAGCATTTCACTAGTAAAAGACGCTTAAGAAGACAAAATCAAATACCTCATAGAAAAATAAATGTTAATAATAACAAGTACTGATAAATCAACAGGTACAGAGACATAAATTTGCCATACAATTATAGTTTACAGAGAGGTTTAAAACATGATTTGATTATACTAATATTGAAAAGATTCAACTCTTGTGTTATAATACAACCGCAGTGCATGTTGAAAACAAAATTATGATGAAAAGTTATAGCAAAACCCGGAATATTTCTACAATAAATATTATAACTGTATACTAATATATGTATTATACTAAGATAATACATAATTACATATATATGGACATGGCGTCTTTATTCATTACCGTCATTTTTGCGCGAGTATGATTAATGTAGATATTATCGACAACCAAGCCAATAACAAATTACTCAAGAATTATTGATTAGAACGGTCTTTCAAATTAAAACGTTGAAAATAATTTTTAAATATTATATCAGGTTTTTAGTCTCCTGCGAAATCCGCAAGTTTTCAATTGATATTTAAAATAATGGCTCATATATTTTATTTCTTACATATAATTCAAAAAATGTTGTTTTTTTGTTCGGAACAACGAAAATTCAATGCGAAAACAGTCTGTGATTTTAGCTGATTATTGCACTAAAATTCTTAGATTAGAAATTGTCATATTATGTATTTACTACTTCTTGCATTTCATACTTTTAATTTGAAAAAGAATCATTTATTCATAAATTGTTATCTGCAAAGTGGTATAACCTTTAAACCACGTTGGCTTCTATATTTCAGGTTTCTTACTACGAGTAACGGTGCATGTAACTTAGTACATTTATGTTGTTTGTTCGTATATAATCACAACTAATCCTTGTCTGACATCAATAACGATATATACATTAAATGAAAAAAATGATACCGACATATCAGCAATATGAAGGTTTCACTTTTATGTCTTTAGCTATGCAATTTATATTTTCGATATCTCATGTAAAATTATCCAGCGTTAATGCAATCCTTGCAATTAACTTGAATAGAATACTAAATGATAGACTAGCGGAAGGAAATAACGAGAATAGAATGTCTGGTCTTGAATTAGTAATTGCTTCTTTAAAGGTCGTTGACACGGCTCATGACATCATGTTAAAATGTGCCTGACAATTAAAGAAGCATTATGATAGTTATGTAAAATAATTTAAGATTTCAATTTGATCCGAGGAGATTTTTTAAAAATCTTAACATTTAGGGGAACTTTTTTCCATTTTAACAACAATTTTTAGGTTTTTGATATCTTTTTAAATGATTCATAAAATGAAATATGTGCATCATTCAGATGTTAGGAGAAATGTTTAAATGGTGTTACTGTTCATTTTGACTTTCTAGTTTTATTGAAAATAAATTGTCGAAGACCATTTAAAAATGAAATGCAAAAAAGCTAAGATACAGTGTTAGAGGAATATATCTTATTTATGGTCAAGTTTAAGTAGGATATAGTATTCTCAGATATTTTATATGAGTAAATCTATTAAGGGGTATATTAAAATATTTGTGCCATAAAAACTATTTATAGTTGATATTAAACGGAGAAATGTTGTTCTTTGTATGTGTGGAAACAATTTTTTTATTGTGATTAACTGGTATTCAGCAATGTCAAAATTGGTTTTTGACTATGGCACATTATTAACAGCAGTTTGATTTTTTGTATTTTGCAGGGCTGAATGTTGTTTTCCGTAAGCTAGCTAGCCACGCCAAGCCAAGTATGGAAATACAAGTGGAAGATGGGAAAGTTAAGATTATTGCCAAAGCTTCATTCTTCACACAAACTATGACCTTTCCAATAAATGAACCATATGACCAAGAATTTGAAGGGATCAAAATGAAAGTAAGAATTAATATCTTTTTTTAACTGTTTACAAGAGTGCTCAGTAAATTGTTTTAAAATTTGACTGCTTTGAGTCAACAATATTACATTGACATTTTTTTAATGTTTTACTTGTGTAACTTAAATTAAATCGAATCTATCAGTGTGAATCAAATCTTTCAGAGTTGCAAAAATATTTTGTGATTTCTATTCTGCAAGGAATCAATTTTACTTTACACCAAGGGTTATAATGATTACTTGAATTTTAATTTGTAGTACTTTATTTTGACATCTTTAAAGAAGCCAACCATTGAATGTAAGGTGTTATATACGAATCTTAAGAAATTTATTCAGAATCTAACAGTGTGAACCAATCTTCCAGAGTTACATGTGATTTTAGTACACGTTCTTCAAATGTTGTATGCATAATATATCGTAATCTATATCGATTGCACAAGATTCTGTTAATTATTTTCACAACACGTTATCAGCAGTATGTCTGATGTGTCCGTGCCTCAGTCTAGCTGGAAATAGAAACGTCAATTAATACGATATAACTTTTTTATCCAGAACAAGTCGCAGATGCTATACAATTATATAAACTGTCAAGAAAGACTAAAAGACTTGCCTTAACAAATGTTGCATTGTTGAGGTTGTGTTTTCAAAGATTCTTGCGATTCTGTTTTAAAACATCTTTAGAATGTTATATTGGAATTGCATTAAGAAATTAATAAAATGTAGCATTTGTTGTTCAGAACGAAAGAAGAAAGACCGACATTTTCTATGCATTGAAAAAGATTCAGTCAAAACGTATAAGATTGAAGCAAAAAAAAACAAAAAAACAAAAACAAAAAAACAAAAAACAACAAAAAAACGCATATGGAATTGGTGTTTTTATGTCTTTGTCTTATCATACGAGTATTATTAATTTGCTTGTTACTTTGTCATTCTTTATTTACAGCAAATATATTCTTTTACATCCTCCTGTGAAGTATGTGTCCAACATTGAGTTTCTGATTTGCTCTGACTCTTTTTTAGTTATTTGTATTTATTCTTTCTTTATTTAATTGCTCATTTCGGGATAGTTTCTTTGTATGGTTGATTAATTTAACATGCTTTACATATGATTGTTTTTATCAAAGGGTGATATCTCTTAAGCACTTTAAATGAAAATTGCAGACACGGTTTAATTGAGGCTAAGGAGTTTGCATGTGTTTGTCTCTATTAAAACAAATATACATCAGAAACAAGAAAAAGCACGGACTGGCTAATCTTTTTGTGTAAGACATATTCTTTATATCAGGGTAAGAAAGAACAAACCATCAATAGAAATCACTAACATTCACTTAATACGGATGCTTTGTGGTTCTATTTTATAAATCCAAACCATTGTCATTGGTATTCTAGTGTTAAAGAATACGGTAGGAATTATGTTTGGTCTATTTGCATCACCGTTTTAAACCTTGTTATATTTATATTATAGTGTTTTACAAAATGGGAGGATAATAAATTGATAACCGAAGCTAATCCTGTGGAACCAGAAAAGCACAAGCCACAAAAATTTCATAGGGAAAGAATTAATGACGAACTTGTTCAGGTATGACTGTTTTTGAATATAATGATTAGTAACTGTCACTAATTTCTATCATTTGTTGTTTGTTTCAGTCTAATGTAAATGGAATCTTTTTGGTATGACAATTTATCAAAAACAAACACGACTTGCCAAATCATAGACTTTTCAGTGAATCACGTCGGACCTTTAAATGAAAGTATTTCATTTTCTTCCGTATGACAATATATAGATTAAACCAGTATTAAGTTTTGCATATAAATAAAGTGTTTGAGAACTTTCAATGACTTTTTTGATAAATACAAATTTGTATTACAGTGCGGCCAATTTTGAACTTAAATTCAATATCATACTAGCATGTTGTTTATATTTTCCTTGTCTTTTCTTATTTAAAATTGTTAGAGTAACTGTATTACAAATACGATATTGTCGAGTTGTTAACACGTCCGACGTGTAATCTAATAATTGATGGTCACCAGGTTTCAAAACCCCATCTGTAGCTGAAAAACCTTACACTTATTGCTAAGTAGTGGTTGGTTCGAGGAAAGAATTCGAGAATGTGTTAATTAGCTTATAGATTCTTACACAATCGAACTAAACTAACTTCTGTATAAACTAGCATTATTACAAATATTTTTTGAGATATAATCTTCTCTATTAATTGATATACATGTATATGGGCTGGCATAAGATTCAAACGAGGTATACACGTGATAGAATTTTGTTTTGTTTCCTTTTCAGACCATGTGGATAGGAGACGTAAAATGTACTAGATGGTTCAAGCAACAGACGTGATGGAAGAAAATATAACATTAAATTACTCGCTGTTTGAACATTTGTCTTTCACTACGTCAATGTTGTGATGTTTTAGCTGCTGCTAATTCGTTAATCTTGTTGCTTTTGTAAACTTCCTGTGTGAATTTGAACGAATGGAATTTTCATGTTTCTTTCTGAATGGATAGAAATTCGAATGCTATTTTCATTCCTAGCAGGTTAATTAGAAGCTATGAACATAAAATTAAAAAAGGGCAATCTTTAATCATAAAAGGTATGCTTTGATTAATAAATTGATACTTTAAGATTTGACTTAAGGGAGTACAAGCTTATACAATAGTTTGACCGAAAGTTAAAAAAATATTAGTATACCGATACAAATCATATCATGCCAAAGAAATGAAATGTATGTGTTGGTGTGAATTGTCAAATGAATAATTTTGTTTATTGTAAAATACATTCAATAACCTCCAAACACATCATTTTATTGATTTTAGTAAACAATTTAAACAACACTGGTTAATTGGAAGCTAATTTTAGCTGGTAATATAAGCCATTAACCTGCATTAGTCTCGCATTGAACTTGTGGAATACATCAGCAGCGCACATTGAGTATCATTTCTTGAACGCACGGACATATGTGCGGAACATTTGGCAAGTAGTTTGATAGACAAAACGAATTTTACAGAACTTATTCGATGCTTTCAATATAAATAACCACCACAAATATCCACATTTTTGAAATTATAAGATACATATTGGCAATTTTCTCAGCCATAAATACACAACGGAAAATTCTTTTATTTAAAAAAAAATAAATAAAAAAACATTAAAAAGACTTTATGTAAAAGAAAAACGATATATTTTTATGTATTTTCAATTTTGCAAACTTTATTATTAGTAACTATAGTCGGCAAAAGTGTATGTTTGCATCTGACGTACTTGTGAGTGTTTTTTTTTTTCGTCGATATGAAATACTCGTTTGTGTATCATATTGAACTTTACATATTAGTTGCGTCTCCATTCTTGTAAAAAAGACCTGATTATGTCCATAGTATAATTCGTGGACTAAGTAAATTTATGCAGTTTTGTCTCATGGCGTTTAATGAAAATTCTGTGGCAAAAATAAATATAACACAGCCAATAATATTTAAGTGAGAAAAGGAGCCTCGGAAAATGAGATGTTGTACCAAATATATTTTTGGTTTCGCACATGATATAATTCTCAGCTATTTTTGTTTACATTTGATATTGAGAAACTATGCAATTGATGGGTTGTTCGAAAAGTAAACAACACAACAAAAGTAATAATAATAATAATAATAATAATAATAATAATAATAATAATAATGATGATGATGATGATGATGATGATGACGACGACGACGACGACGGCGATGATGATTTCTCTTTTTATTTATTTGAATGCACATAAACTATTTATCTTATTAAACCTCAGGGAAGCCAAGTAAATATTGATTTTATGGTTTATTCAAAGATTTTAAATATCTTAGTTATTCATATTTGTACTGCAAATTGTAATTAATGCACGTACTCGTATAGCTTAATTTATAAGATCATCTGATGCAAAAATCGTTTAAATAAACATACATAAAAAACGAGCTTCAACTATCTAGTTAATATCTTGTTTTAATGAGCTGAAAGAATGTTTAATTGCATTTACTTAACTCATACCACGCATAGTAGTAACAAAACAACCAAAAAACAAAACAACTTCTCGAGGATGTGAGGTGACTAAGCAGATTTAGTTTTATTTTCCTTTATGTCTATTTGCTGGCATTTCTGCCTGCAACAACAACTTGCAATTACATGCACCTTACAAATATTTAGTGCATTTTGAAAAAAAAAATATACGCTTAATCTTTGATCCACTAAATCATCTAATTATGTAAACAAACAAACAAACAAATTAAGCATTTAATTGCAATAAAGAATGTCCAACTTTAAATCATATAGACAAAGTACATTTGTTTGAGCACGGGAAAATTTTTGTAAATTTGGAATAATCTCTTCTATTTTCGCACGCAAAAGTTTATAATTCGTTTGTGTTTCATTTATGTTTTTATTTTATTTATTTAATTTTTTTTAAAAAGTTATAAAGTATTAATTGATAAAGGGATTTTTACTTATTTTGGGCTTTATTTACTAGACAATATAAATATATCAAAAATGGAACATCATTTTTTATTATTAAGCTAAAATAACAATATTTTCGTAACAATAAAATTCACCAAATTTGGAAAATATCCTTCAATTTGAAAATGTGTTCACTGTAAAAACTGAAATATCTTAGATAATTCTAGGAATTACACAAACACACCACCGTCCAAACTTGCACTTCATTTCAAACGAAATAAAACATAAAGAATGATAACAATAAAGACATCGAAAGTCTCACCACATGTTATAAGTTATTATAAGTGTAAAACATTTATTCATACTGACATTTTTATTTATAAGGTCATTACTTAATAACTGTATATGTTTTTTACCTGACTGTGATAATATTTTTATCTATGTCATCTATCAATGTCACAAACGTACATAATCAGTTGTACATACAAAAGAGTTTTGCCAAAAGTTTTAACAATACTATCGTGGGTCCATCCTACTCTTACGGTATCGATCAATTCTGTAAAGTTTCATTCAAATTGCATGACTAATATATGAGAAATAGTCCCGATAAAACTTTGAAAATAAAAAAAATATGACAGGGCCATAACCTTAAAAATACCGAAATGAAAATTGTCGAAGGTATGCGGAACTAAACTTGGTATTGATCATTCCTGTAAAGCTTGGATAAATTGCCCCGGTAGCTGTTGAAGAGTTGTCCGAAGAAGTTTTATAACGACCGGACAGAAGGACACACATTCTGAATATGTCCGTCTATAGAAAATAAAGACAAATTACTTTAATGTGTCCGAATATTTTCAAACAAGTTAGATTTAAAAAAGCGAGTTTTTTCCAATATGATACGAAAAGAATTGAATAAAGATATGTAAATTAACATCCCATATTTTTTGTTGGACGAAGTGAAACCGTCTCCTCTTTCCCGGAAATGATTCACAGAAACTTGTATGTTAGTTATTGAATTGTGTTTCAACCACATTATAACAATCACGTTTTTAAAAAGATATCTCTGAACTATAACTAAAATTAAACGGTTCACATGTTGGTTATATACCAAATGGCTTAGTTTCTAAAGATTTAAAAATCCCCAATATGAATATTGTTTACCGATAAACTGACTGTACTAAGCCATCTACCGGCAATATAAGTGGAAGGCGGAAATGTTAGGTTAAATTGCAAAAGCTACATTCAAGAAGTGAATAATGTTTGCATGTTAAATAATCAAAGCGAAACAAATTCTTTATTTGTGATTCGCAACCAATATCGAATGTTTTGTAAAGTGTGTGTTAAACGAGCCATGAACGTATTAGCGTGTAAGTTACAAATCCATCTAATTGTAAACGTTAAAACTTGTGCGGGAACTAACTTCAAAACAAATTTAGCTTTTTAGTTATATGTGCTTTATTGATTAATATCACTTTGAGGTTTGTGATGATTCTCAATCAGAAAGACATTATGTGCCTTTGAATAAGTGTTCCAATAAAAGTCATCTAAAATCTCTCGTGAGGCATTTCCTACTATAACTACTATCATAATAAACATTGTATTAAGATGTTTTATGCTGATTAAAGTTTGTACTCGTACAGAATGTCTTAAAACCGTCTGCAACAAAAGACGGACAGACAGAATGCCGACGCAATACAAACAAGAACGACACATCAATACACTGACCCACGAATAATGGGCAAAGAAATTCTTTTGTCAGACACCATTTGGAAAAAAACATCAAACATCAATTTGTTCATTGTTTTGAGAAACAAAATTACACCTTATAATCAAAGAACATTCTATTTACCGTCAAATTATGAAGCACAGAGTCAAACAAATATCAGTAATTGATATTATTACCGAAGATCGGTGATTTTATGAAATTATATAGAAACAATTTGTATCTCGAACAAATATAACTTTACATGAGATTATTGACACGAACTCATTTTGCTGATAATCAAAGCAAACCTGACCACTCAAAATAAAATTCTAATAATAAGTTTAATTAAATATTTCCTAATGCATTTGAATAATGTTTTGTAAGTGGTTGTACTATTCAAAAACATGCTTACACCAAATGATTTCAGTTGGAGTGATATTACTGAAACACGTTAATAAAATACTTGTTCGGTTAAAGTGCAAATCTAAAGAATTAAAAAATCTGTAATAACTATTGATCCATGTACAACTGTTTTAAAGTTGTCGATTGCCAACAGATATAAATATTGTTACGGTTAAATATCTGGAAGAAAGTGATCCAACGGAAGTATTAAAAACACTGGAACTTCGTGAAAATTGCAAACTCGGTTTGATTGAGTCAGTACATGAGGAATAATGAGCAATTGCAACATCCCACACGAACCCTAGCATCGGCCTCAAAACGTCTATAAAAACAATCGCTGACAATGTTTAACAGCGACGTGGAATCTTCTGTATTCAGTATTCTAGAGCGTTGTTTCTCTCTTTAAAATTATAAGCGGGTGTAAATCCAAGTGATGACAGAAATTTTCTGATGCATTTGTATATTTCCGTTACGAACTGTAAGTGTTCGTAAGAATAGTTTACTCTTTTCAAAATATCATATAAAGGATTTTTGAAAATACGTAAAAATGGTTTAAATGTAGTTTATACATAGCATATTACGTTATCTTACGAGTTTTTTGTTTTCCTGTATATTTAAATCTACAAAGTCAAATATGAGAATTACCCATGGAAGATTGAAATGTTGATTTGATCGAATTAAAACAACATTCTTCTTGCAAATAACGTTTTATGCAAATAAAGAATAACTGTAATTAACAGGCACTGATAACAATAGTGTCTTCGTAAACTGTCATCGGCCTGCAGGGCATCTCTTCACTGTATCTTTTCAATATGGAAA